CTTCCGGGTCATGTGGCCAGCATGACTAAGCCGCTTCTGGCGAACCAGAGCAGCGCACGGAAACGCCGTTTACCTTCCCGCCGGAGCGGTACCTATTTATCTACTTGCACTTTTGAGGCACTTTCGAACTGCTAAGTTGGCAGGAGCAGAGACCGAGCAATGGGACTCACCCCGTCGCGGGGATTCAAACCGCCGACCTTCTGATCGGCAAGCCCTAGGCTCAGTGGTTTAACCCACAGCACCACCTGCGTCCCCCTTATGGAAGTGGTCTATATTCAAGGGCCAAACTACATGCTATATACTAACAGTGCTGTGTTTGCCTCCCAATTTCCTTGAAATTCTAGAGGAACAGGGGCATTTGGGAAGGTGCAACAGAGAAATGGGATTTATTCCTTCCCATCAACAGCTCCTCTCCGAAATGTCCAGACACCCCAGGCTACAAGTGATGGGGAGGAGACCCTGTTCTTGCTTGCTCCAGGTCTGACTCCAGTATCTATTGGAGTGGACAGGATATGGCCTTCAAGAGAGATCTCCAGACTCAGTAACAGAAAGTCAGCACACAAATTTCATAATTCTCTTCTCTCCCCATTCTTTTTAGATATATAGTCTGTTAAAAGTGGGATGCGGGTGGCGCTGTGGGTTAAACCACAGAGCCTAGGACTTGACGATCAGAAGGTCAGTGGTTCGAATCCCTGCAATGGGGTGAGTTCCCATTGCTCGGTCCCTGCTCCTGCCAACCTAGCAGTTCAAAAGCATGTCAAAATGCAAGTAGATAAATAGGTACCGCTCCGGCGGGAAGGTAAACGGCGTTTCCGTGTGCTGCTCTGGTTCGCCAGAAGCGGCTTAGTCATGCTGGCCACATGACCAGGAAGCTGTACGCCGGCTCCCTCGGCCAATAAAGCGAGATGAGTGCTGCAACCCCAATGTCAGTCATGACTGGATCTAATGGTCAGGGGCCCCTTTACCTTTTACTGTTAAAAGTATGAGCCACTGTTTTAAACTAAACTTCCGATGTATGGAAGTGAGAGCTGGACCATCAAGAAGGCTGATCGCCGAAAAATTGATGCTTTTGAATTATGGTGCTGGAGGAGACTCTTGAGAGTCCCATGGACTGCAAGAAGATCAAACCTCTTCATTCTGAAGGAAATCAGCCCTGAGTGCTCATTGGAAGGACAGATCCTGAAGCTGAGGCACCAATACTTTGGCACCTCATGAGAAGAGAAGACTCCCTGGAAAAGACCCTGATGTTGGGAAAGATGGAGGGCACAAGGAGAAGGGGACGACAGAGGATGAGATGGTGGGACAGTGTTCTCGAAGCTAGAAACATGAATCTGACCAAACTGCGGGAGGCAATGGAAGACAGGAGTGCCTGGCGTTGCTCTGGTCCATGGGGTCACGAAGAGTCGGACACGACTAAACCACTAAACAACAACAAAACTTCCGATGTTGACAGAAAGACGGTGTTTGTGCATGTGAATTCAGGGAAACCTTTTGTGGCAAGAGGTTGTACCTTTGAGGGAAACAGGCCCTCTTGTGATGATCTGGTGTGAGTCACTTGAAAAAGATGCTTGTATTTATACCTCCCAACCGCCCGACTCTTCATCTCTTCGATTCAGCTGCCGGCATAGGAACTGTAGGCAGTGGAACTATTTTCCCCATCCTTTTTTCAAATGAGCGCTGGGAGAAATATCAGATTACAACCAACTCTGTTGCAGAGGAGGTGGATTAATCATGCACACTCGCTGAAAGAGACTCTGCTTTTTTCGGCAAGCCAGAGAACAGCCTAGTGCTGATATCAGATTTTTAAAAATGTAATACCATCATTACCAAAGAGAGACAAGAGAAAGGTGAGTCCCCTTAGCATCAGACTTCCTTCATTGTCATTGCATTTCTGCATTTAGTTTCCTATCCAGTGCTGATTTTATCTGGAAGTGTATTGTGGATGTGTATTTTCCTTCTTTCAAATTCTGTCTGATTTTTACCATACAGCTTAATGGCAAAGGAGGAGGCCAGTTTGTAACATGAACATTGTACATTACAGGAATTTGTGTAGATGTTGTTTCAATGTTATGTACTGAAAAACAGAAGATGAGCAGAGCTGTGCATTTTTAAATCAAATATCCAAAAATATTGGGCATTTTGACCGCTTCTAAAGTATATGGAAGTTTTGCAAACATGCAACTTCAAAGGCTGTCGTACGAGTCAGAAAAGAAGAACAAAAAAGAGCAAAGCTTAGAAGCATACATACTCTCAAAGGTCCAGCAAGTTTGGTGGTTGGTTATTTTGTTCTTCGCATTGCTCTCTGTCACTAATATTGCCAGCGGTATTTCATTCAAAGGACAGAATCGTGTCTTTCTTTTCCATCCAAATCTTGGAGCCAATCCTCCACGCTCTCCTGATCTGGAGGATAAAATCAACCATCTACAGCCTAGAAACACCCATTTTGATAGCCAAATTTTGATTTGGGGGGGGATTTGGTTCTGTTATTATTTTCAAGTATTATTCAGTGTTGTGCCTGCTCTCCCTACTCTGATGATGCTCTCCTCAAAGAGGGACATTCATGGTGCCGAAGGCATCAGAGTCAGCGGTATTAAAGCACCATCTCCTTACCCACTACAATAGCAACAAAATGGGAAAACAGGGGTTTCCTTGCTCATCGTGGCCGGTTCCTGCTGAGGAGGTGTGCCGCATACAGTTGACTGATTGCTGTAATTTGGAGCTTCTTTTATTTGGCCTTCCTTGCTGACACCTTTAAACGCTAGCTTGCACTTTTGACTAATGGATGAAGTGGCTCATTCACCACAAAAGTCTTTCATCCCTTATCCTGTGCACACTATGAATGTTGTTGTTGTTTAGTCGTTTAGTCGTGTCCGACTCTTCGTGACCCCATGGACCAGAGGACACCAGGCACTCCTGTCTTCCACTGCCTCCCACAGTTTGGTCAAATGAATAGATTTCTATGAATAAAAAGGTACAGTGGTATTGGGTTAAGAACTTAATTCATTCTGGAGGTCTGTTCTTAACCTGAAACTGTTCTTAACCTGAAGCACCACTTTAGCTAATGGGGCCTCCTGCTACTGCCACACCGCCGGAGCACGATTTCTGTTCTCATCCTGAAGCAAAGTTCTTAACCTGAGGTAATATTTCTGGGTTAGCGGAGTCTGTAACCTGAAGCATCTGTAACCTGAAGCATATGTAACCTGAGGTACCACAGTAAAGGTAAAGGACCTCTGACAGTTAAGTCCAGTCACAGAAGGCTCTGGGGTTGTGGTGATCATCTTGCTTTACAGGCCCAGGGAGCTGGCGTTTGTCTGCAGACAGTTTTCCTGGGTCATGTGGCCAGCATGACTGAGCTGCTTCTGCCGAACCAAAGCAGTGCACAGAAATGCTGTTTACCTTCCCGCTGGAGCAGTACCTATTTATCTACTTGCACTGGCATGCTTTTGAACTGCTAGGTTGGCAGCAGCAGGGACCGAGCAACGGGAGCTTACCCCCTCATGGGGATTCAAACTACCGACCTTCAGATCGGCAAGCCCAAGAGGCTCAGTGGTTTAGACCACAGTGCCACCCGTGTCCCCTTTCTTTTTTATTTTTTTTAAAGTTTTTTATTTATACAACAAGAAAAACAAACAAACAAGAAACACAAATACCAAATTACACACAAATTACAAAAATAACCATAGACGCTTAATATTCTTAGCAAACAATAAAACATCTATTGGTCTTAACACTAAAGACCCAACCTCCCGTCTATTCCATACTTCAAATTCATATTACTTATTGCCAATACACTTTTTTCTCCCCACAATTAAACTTATTCTCATTAAATCTAATTTCTTATATCTACCTTGCAACTATTACTGAAGTTCCTCAAATGCTGCAACAGAATTTAAACTACTATATTTATTTTTCAGATATTCTTTAAAAACCTCCCATTTAGAAACAAATTCCTGTTTTGATTTTTTTTGATTTTTTCTGATAAACCATCTAATTCAGCATATTCTGTCAGCTTTTGGATCCAATCTTGAATAGAGGGGATTTCATTACTCTTCCATTTTGCTGCGATCAAAACTCTTGCTGCCGCTGTCGCATATAGAAAGATACCCTTCCTCTTTGTGGAATATCCAAATCTGTTATTCCCAGGAGGTAGGCCTCTGGTTTTTTATTGAAAGAGATCTTCAGCATTTTTTGCAGTTCTGCATGTATACTCTCCCAGAATACCTGTATTTTCCTACATATCCACCACATATGGTAGAATGTTCCTGAGTCTCCGCATCTCCAACAATTACTTGATACATTTTTATACATTTTTGAAAGCTTCCATGGTGTTAGATACCATCGATGTTGTATTTTTTGAAAGTTCTCTCTAATCGTGTAACAATTTGTGAATTTCCAATTGATCTTCCATAAATTTTCCCATTGGGCCATGGTTATTGAGTGGCCAAAATCCTGCCGTGTCCCCTTTCTATGAATAGATAACGACAAGTTGCTGAATACAGTGGTACCTTGGGTTACATACGCTTCAGGTTACAGACTCCGCTAACCCAGAAATATTACCTCAGGTTAAGAACTTTGCTTCAGGATGAGAACAGAAATTGTGCTTTGGCGGTGCGACGGCAGCAGGAGGCCCCATTAGCTAAAGTGGTGCTTCAGGTTTCAGGTTAAGAACAGACCTCCGGAACGAATTAAGCACTTAACCCGAGGTACCACTGTATATTGAATCACCTCTGTTAGTGAATAAAACAGTCCCCCCCCCCCTCTTTTCACAGACTTGGCTTCGATGTCCTTGGTTTCTTCGTCTTTAAGCCCAACGAGAAGAGATGGATATAAATATCTCTTTACTATCCAATATCTGTTCAGCCACCTTGTCCTTGGTCAAAGCAGGCACCAATCAGACAGAAGCGGGCATTGGATTCCAGCAGGTGGCAGTCGGACTGATACTCGCTTTTATAGATTTGGCAACTCTTTTGGGAAACACAGTGGTGTTTATCTGCCCATTGATGGAGAAGAGGCTCCGGACAGTCACCTATATGTTTATCATGTCCTTAGCAATGGCAGATTTTCTTGTGGCTTGCCTGGTGATGCCATTTAGGTAAGAAATCTGACAAAGGTAAGCTACTTCCTGGGGTTTGGGGTTTAATCTTTTTTTAAAAAATAATAATAATTTTTATTAAATTTTCCATTTTAACAATCCAATCAAATCACATTAAGTATTCCAAATTATTACGAATACATATCATATAGTCCAAATATTCTGCCAAATTATAAATTTTTGTTGGGGCCTCCCATGCTTCAAGTTCAGTGGGGTTCTAATCATCTTATGTTTCTACTGCCTTGAGTTTCCAATAGTTCCTTCTTTAAAACTTCCTGTTGTTATCCTTCCTTCTTTCGTAGCCTCTGAATTGTTTGACAGGCGAGTTGAAATAAATAATGTGCTTCTGTGTGAAATTTGTATGACTCTCCTCTTTTTTTGCAGCTGGTAAGTCTGTTGTTTGCAGAATGTCCTCACACGCTGGTGTTTATGCCGAATCAATCCAAAAGTCCTTCTCTGGTGGCAGACGCCATCTTCACTCAGTTCCGATGAAATAAAATCTGGGCGTTTGCTCATCAATTTTCTCAGATAGGTTGCATCAAACATTAGTCTTTCTAGGGGAGATTTGCCAAATCGGACTTGAAGTACAGATATAATAACCAATTAACAGCTCACCTCCCCCAAGACTATTTATCTCTGCAACTCTTCCAAACGTTTCGAAAAACAAAGCTTTAGTTATATAGTATTATTATTTCCACACAGTTTATATTTTCCCATCTCACTTGCTGTAAATAATGTAAACGGTTCTTCTGGGGGGGGGTGTTAAGTATTATCGTAGTAGATTGGGGTTTAATCTAGTTGCACGTTGCTATTCCCTGTGCCACTGATACTGAAAGCATAGAATAGATGGTTAGAAATAAGCTGGAAATATTTTACCAACAGAAAGTTTCAGGAAAGAGCTGGGCATCTTCTAGAATGCCTCCAGTTCACACAAGGTCAAGAATAAATCTGGCCACGTCCCTGTGTGCCATTGACCATGTTCCAGAATCCACAGCTGGCATGCAAGCCATTTCTATGCAGACAAACAAAGGTGATGTTTTCCCTCGAGATGCAAAGCTTGAAAATCAGTCTTGGAAAAAACCCAACTCAATATTTAAGTGATTGTAGAGCGTGCTGAGTGAACTGGCTCAAAAGGAATGCCATTAGAAAGCCCTGATGCTAGTATAACTGAAGGAGCGTCTCCATCCCCATCGTTCAGCCTGGACACTGAGATCCAGCTCTGAGGCCTTCTGGCGGTTCCCTCACTGCGAGAAGCCAAGTTACAGGGAACCAGGCAGAGGGCCTTCTCGGTAGTGGTGCCCGCCCTGTGGAACGCCCTCCCACCAGATGTCAAGGAAATACAGTCGTACCTTGGAAGTCCAAAGGAATCTGTTCCGGAAGTCCGTTCGACTTTCAAAACGTTGAGAAACCAAAGTGTGGCTTCTGATTGGCTGTAGGAAGTTTCTGCAGCCAGTCGGAAGCCACGGAAGCCCTGTTGGATGTTCAACTTCCAAAAGTCATTCGGAAACCGGAAGACTCACTTCTGGGTTTTGATTGTTTGGGAGCTAAGGCATTCGAGATCCAAGGTACAACTGTAAACAACTACCAGACTTTTAGAAGACATCTGAAGGCAGCCCTGTTTAGGGAAGTTTTTAATGTTTGATATTTTATCGTGTTTTTAATATTCTGTTGGGAGCCGCCCAGAGTGGCTGAGGAAACCCAACCAGAAGGGCGGAGTATGAATAATAAATTATTAATTATTATTATTATTGGACCTATGTTCGGTATTCTCCCCGCATAGTTGTGATGTGAAGGCTGGGAGGAAAACAGCGAAGTGGCCCCAGCCACCGACTTAAGCTTCATCTCTTGGTCTCTCCTTTCAGCATTGTTTATGAAGTGACTGGCATGTGGATGTTCGGGAGAGAGTTCTGCAAAGTCTGGATCTCATTTGACGTCATGTTCTGCACGGCTTCCATCGTCACCTTGTGTTTCATCAGCCTGGACAGATACTGTTCTGTCGTAACACCCTATCGTTATTCAAAGAGGATGTCGCGGCAAAGGCAAGTATGTTTTGTCCCCTTTGTTGGTTAAGAGCTGCTGAAGCCTCTTTGGAACACGGACAAAGCTTCCGTTGCAAAACCTGATTTGCAGGTTTTAAGGATTGAGAAAATGCCATTGTTGCTCTTGCAACTCAGGAGGAAATGAAAACATAGGAGCCATTTCATTAATACCTTTTGGCCTCAAAATATAAGCTGTCATCAAATATACATATATGTAACTGTTTTATGGAGGGACGCGGGTGGCGCTGTGGGTTAAACCACAGAGCCTAGGACTTACCGATCAGAAGGTTGGCGGTTCGAATCCCCGCGACGGGGTGAGCTCCCGTTGCTCAGTCCCAGCTCCTGCCAACCTACCAGTTCGAAAGCACGTCAAAGTGCAAATAGATAGATAGGTACCATTCCAGCGGGAAGGTAAACGGCATTTCCGTGCGCTGCTCTGGTTCACCAGAAGCGGCTTAGTCATGCTGGCCACATGACCCGGAAGCTGTACACCGGCTCCCTCGGCCAATAAAGCGAGATGAGCGCCGCAACCCCAGAGTTGGCCACGACTGGACCTAACGGTCAGGGGTCCCTTTACCTTTACCTAATTGTTTTATGTATGAAATTGTAAATAGCTTCAGGATTCCTCATGGGAATAATAATAATAATAATAATAATAATGTGCAGTCTTATGTCTGAAGGTGAATTGCATATATTTTACCTTCATCGCCAGCTGGAACTTGTATCGCCAGCCATGGGATCTTAAAAGGGTTCTGTGGTTGAGAAAAGGAGGCTGCGTATCACTTAACTGGTTCAAAAACATTAGGATCTTCTACAAAAATTGAATCCTAAAGCCAGTGAGCGATCTGCAACCCAAGAAGTTGGTGCTTCGAATCTTTTCTCTCCCAAGAAACTAACAGGTGGCTTCAGACAAACTACTAAGCCTCAGTCTCCCTTTCTGCTGTACTTATGCAAAATTGACTCATGTGCAACCGTGTATATGTGCAGCAGCAGGAAATACATAGATGCAAACCAGGAAGTGGTGGGAAAGGTGCAGAGTCTTTGTGGCTTGCAAGGAGACGACGACTCCTCCCCCAGAGCCGGAAGAGGACTTCAGTGAGGGTGGAGGAAGCCCCAAAGAGATGGGAGACGCAGCAGGGCTTTAGTTTATGCTGCTGAGCCTCCCTGCCTAGCGAGTGATGTGCGGGGTGACACAACAGCAGCAGTCACTTTTCTGCATGGCCTCCAGACTAGTTGAAAAGTGTTATGTGGAGAGTGGGAAAGCAGGGGGAGAATGCGAGTTTAGAGGCTTTTTAGAGGGTGCTCCCCACTCGAGAGGGACGCGGGTGGAGCTGTGGATTAGAGAGCCTAGGACTTGCCAATCAGAAGGTCGGCGGTTCGAATCCCCGCCATGGGGTGAGCTCCCGTTGCTCGGTCCCTGCTCCTGCCAACCTAGCAGTTCGAAAGCACGTCAAAGTGCAAGTAGATAAATAGGTACCACTCCGGCGGGAAGGTAAACGGTGTTTCCGTGCGCTGCTCTGGTTCGCCAGAAGCGGCTTAGTCCTGCTGGCCACATGACCCGGAAGCTGTACGCCGGCTCCTCGCCCAGTAAAGCGAGATGAGTGCCGCAACCCCAGAGTCGGTCAGGACTGGACTAATGGTCAGGGGTCCCTTTACCTTTTACCCCACTCGAGATTTCCACTGATGTGCGCAGGGGCCCAGAATGCGACCCCCGCTTAAGTGGAGAGAACGCCTGTACAGCGGTACCTCTGGATGAGAACGGGATCCGTTCTGGAGCCCCGTTCGCATCCTGAAGTGAACGTAAGACGCGACTGTGCGTGCCGCGCATGACGTCATTTTGAGAGACTGCGCATGCGGCGAAACCCAGAAGTAACACGCTCCATTACTTCCGGGTTGCCGCGGAGCGCAACCCAAAAATATTTAAGCTGCAGCGTATTCATCCTGAGGTATGACTGTATAGGATAAGCAAAGGCAGTGACAACTTTACTAAGATCACGTGAACATCCTTGAACATTCTAAATCGGTCTGTACATGACAAATATTCTAATGACAATAAAGCAACGTTTTCTTTTTGGCAACCCTGGAGCGGAAGCATGCATCGAAAATCCTGATCTTTCCTCATTTTCCACCCGCAATGTGGCCAAAAGCATTGGCTCATCTTCAGCACCTGTGCACCAGTTACAGCAAGTGGGATGTAGCAACAGGTATCCCAAGAATTCTTTTCTTTTCATTCACAGGTGCATCATAATGACTTGCGCTGTCTGGATCTATTCTTCCCTGATTTCCTTTTTGCCCGTCATGAAAGGCTGGAATGAGATACCCGGCGTGGATTTTGACGCGAGCAAAGAGTGCGTCTTTGTCACCAACTGGGTTTTCGCCATTGTAGCTTCAGCCCTGGCCTTCTTCATCCCCTTCGCCATCATGTGCAGTATGTACTTCTTCATCTATCGCGCTTCCAGACTCAAGGCCTCCCGAATCGTCTCTCAGACCCTCGACCTTCACTACCACCCACAGAGTAAACGCCAGAACAGCCTGCAGCTGGAAAACAAGGCCACTCGCACCATCAGCATCCTCATCTCAGTCTTCATACTGTGCTGGCTGCCGTATTTTGTCTTCAACGTATGGTTGGCCACCAACGGGGCCAATTCCACCAGCAAAGTTCTTGTTGGCACTTTCAAGATCATCACCTGGCTGGGCTATTGCAATTCCACAATCAACCCAATGCTCTATGCTTTCCTCAACCGGGACTTTCAGCGAGCTTTGAAGAAGCTGCTGACCTGCAGGCGCGGGTCTCAAGTGGACATGGGCGAGGATATCGTTTCGATAGTGACGTTCACAAAGACGGCTCAAGACCCCAGAGCGCAAGGGGAAAGAAGATCTATGTTCTGCAACTCTGAATAAGTCTTCACACGTGTGGGCAGGAGGAGAGTCACTGGAATCCTTCACCATCCAGTATGGGAACCCTAGATATAAAATGGATTTTGGGCTGAACTTGTATTGCAAAACATGGTGTTTCCTGCTTGGCAGGGGGTTGGACTCGATGGCCCTTGTGGTCTATTCCAACTCTATGATTCTATGATTCTAAGCATGGTGAAGTTTTTTCTTGTCCAGCAGGTGAATAGCTACAGGGGGAAATAGCTAGAATATGCCAACAAAAGAAGCCATTGATTATTCTAACCAGGGCTGGATTCGAGCCCTTTCAGTGCCAAATGTAGCAGAGTACCAGTTAGATCCATTAAGCTATAGATCTGGGTTTTAGCTTTCTATAAAACACAGCCATTCTGAAAGGTTGTCTGCAACAGCCTTTGCCACTACTGTTATTCCCTTTGGCTCAGTTTCTCCACCGCTATTTCCGATGCTGTCTCCAGCTTAAATCACCACTTGAATCAACGGCTAGGTAGGGTTGGTATTCTTTTGGTCTGTTTTTGTTCCTCGCTAGTGTCCTTCTTAAACCTCTGAAGGGAGACAACTGCAGTAAACTTTGAGAATCGATGGTCTAGGATTAACCACAAAATCAAGACCTTTCTGGTCAACCCCCTGGTCTTAGTAGGCATGTTGGTGTTCAGCAGAGACTAAATACCATATTTTTCGCTCTATAAGACACACCAGACCACAAGACGCACCTAGTTTTTTGGAGGAGGAAAACAAGAAAAAAAATATTCTGAATCTCAGAAGCCAGAACAGCAAGAGGGATCGCTGCGCAGTGAAAGCAGCAATCTCTCTTGTTGTTCTGGCTTCTGGGATAGCTGTGCAGCCTGCATTCGCTCCATAAGACGCACATACATTTCCCCTTACTTTTTAGGAGGGAAAAAGTGAGTCTTATAGAGCAAAAAATGCGGTAAATTGCATTATACTTCGTAAATGGCAGCAGAAATCAGAATATACTATCTAGGATCCAAAAGGTCATGTGTGCTACGGGATGTTTTCAGTTCTTCTTCCTATTGCAGCCTGCAAAAAAAGAGATTAGTATGGCTTGGGTAACCCTCCAGAGTTAGGTACAATGTGAGGGATGCGATCCATCTGTGAGACGGAGAAATATTTGGCAAAGATGTATGTCTCTTTGGATTGCAGCCAATGGAAAACGGCAAAAGGAGTTACACTGGTTATTATTTAAGGGGACGGGGAAACAACTGCATCTAAATAAAAAAAGACTTTATTAAATCAGACTTGAAAAAAGTCACAGTAATTAAATGCACCTAACAAATGTTCCAAGTGCATACTGTACACCACCAACCCAAATGGATTGATCTTGCCATTTTATAAATAAAATTAACATATTTACAGTGAGAAAAGGGTGTTATTAAGCAATAACATCCTGGTAAAGAAATGTGTCAGAATGATTACTACAAGCCTGCAAGATTACAGTGGATGCTACATCCAGGAAATACAAAAAAATAATAATGAATTAATGCTTAATTTGTTATTGTTGTAATTCGAAACCGGGTTCAACCAGATTTTTTATTACTAAATCTTCTTCCATCTTCATCTAAACACTTTTCAATAACTTCTACTGTGTAGAAACAAATCACCATTTGCTCTAGAACTGGCTACCAATAGTAAAACTATTCTTACTTTATCCTCCAGGGACAAAATATAGAGGGTTTTTAAATATATTTTAAGCTTGTTTTAAAGGTCTTCATGTCTTAAATGAATGTAATCAGGACCTAGATGTCAGAGTTAGAGAGACCACTTGGTTCTATAAAAATACAGAATTTAATTCTATTTACATAACAGGCATCCTTTCCAAATTCCCTAGAAAATATTAACACAATCCAAACACCAAAGGGTGTATCGCAGCTAAGGTAGGCCAAGTTATGGTGTGAAAGTCATCTGAAAAGCGTTAAACAGAAACGATTAGCTTCGTCCCATGATAATTCTGTGCATAAAACTGAAATGAGAAAATAAAGCTCTGAGCAGGAATATTCCAGTGACATTGCTTGATTGCTGGATTATCCTGCTGGGTGACCGCTCCGAGATCTGTCCAGTGTGCTCATAATAATTGTGCCATCTTGTTTACTCAGCTATCTTGAATGCTTCATTCCGGATGTACTCATTGTCCGTGACCTTTGCCTGAGCACAGGCGTTGCTGGAAACTCGACGTCTTCAAATAAAGGGTTTTCGATGATCTCTGCAGCCTCTGGTCTTTCCGTTGGGCTTGGAGACAGCATGTGCTTTACCATTGCATACTAAATGGAAAATAGGGGAAATCTGTGAGATTTCGGACAGTGGAGATGTTTACAGTTATCCTCAGCTCTAGTCTGCACCCCCCACTACAAAAGAAATGCAAAGACTCTCTTTGCACTGCATTTGAGAAGCAATTTGGGCTCATTGTAACCCCAATATTTTATTTTTAAATTCCAGTGATTAAATACTGTATTTTTCGCTCCATAAGACACACTTTTTTCCTCCTAAAAAGCAAGGGGAAATGTGTGTGCGTCTTATGGAGCAAATGGCACTGCGCAGAGAGGGAGAGCTGCGCAGCGCCTCTTCAGCGAAGCGGGAGGAGAAATGGAAGGGGCTCCGTTCCCCCTACCACTTTGCTGGAGAGGGGCTGCGCAGAGATGGAGATTTTTTTTTCTTGTTTAACTCCTCTAAAAACTAGGTGTGTCTTATGGTCGGGTGCGTCTTATGGAGTGAGAAATACGGTACATATTTTATTTATTACTTACTTCTCTTGGAGGTCTTAAGACTCCTTTTTTCCTTTGCAAAACTCTAAGGGATTTTTTTAAAAAATGAAGAATTTTCTCAATGAAACAAATTATAATTAACTTAAGTTTTTGCCCAACAGAATGGTAGGGAGGTATCTGATATTTCGATCTCTGAAGCTAAGATAGAAAATGTGATAGAAAACTGCTTGTGGAACCCACACAAACTGATTTAATTAATATTAAAGAGAGCTGGTGCTTCTAACTTTTGGGTTATTTGGGTGTTGTGTGGACACAGTGGTGCCTAAAGGTAAAGGGACCCCTGACCATTAGGTCCAGTCATGACCGACTCTGGGGTTGCGGTGCTCATCTCGCTTTACTGGCTGAGGGAGCCGGCGTACAGCTTCCGGGTCATGTGGCCAGCATGACTAAGCCGCTTCTGGCAAACCAGAGCAGCGCACGGAAACGCCGTTTACCTTCCCGCTGGAGTAGTTCCTATTTATCTACTTGTACTTGACATGCTTTTGAACTGCTAGGTTGGCAGGAACAGGGACCGAGCAACGGGAGCTCACCCCGTCACAGGGATTCGATCTGCAAGTCCTAGGCTCTGTGGTTTGACCCACAGCGCCACCCATGTCCCACAGTGGTGACTAGCCCCTGTTAAATTAATATCGTTGATTTCTCCACTTATTTCTATAGGCAGCATTTAAAAATATTTTATTATATGTCCCACTTACTTTTTGCTGCAGAGGTTTTGTACCTTAGGGTCAACCTGAGTCTACTGATAATTCCTCTCTTGTGTGTGGCTGGTGCAGTTTTGACTACATAAGCATGTGACTGGGAATACTTAATCGGTAATTAAAAGGACTGGATTGCTTGTGCATAGCAAATAAAAGGGTGGGAAAAATACATTCCTTTTAATGTGGTGCCAGTCTTAAATAAATGATTTAACGACACACAGTACTACTGTTAGGAGAGCAAGCATAAACCAGAAATGAAGCACAAATAAGATGCAATGGAATGCCTTTCAACATTAATTATCTTACGGGCTTCTTTCATTAACATCAATTGACATCATGATAAAAATCGTTCCCCTTTGAAATCACAATAAGTTAGGTGAATTTTCTAATGAAGTGATGCACCACCATTATTTATTTCAGCTTGTTAAAATATTATCCCCCAAGATAATAAAAAAAAAATAATCCACAGCTTAAAATTATAACCCAAGCAAAGCTTGAAAATAAACCACACAATCAGACCAAAGTTATATTAAAACTTACCTCCTGTGGATATTTCTGAATGAAGAGTGGAGGGAAAGTCAAGTTCCTTACTTCGCTCAATGTCTGTAACAAGAAAAGAAAAAAAAGCCTTTGTATTGTCATTTGAAACATTGTTCTTTACAAGCCATACACTTGCTTTAGCTTGAAGCCCTGAACTGTACTTCTTTAGATAACAAAAGCAGAAATCACATTTTCCACAGTCCACAGAATTATGCAGATCCTAAAACCATGTAAGCTGCCCTGCATTTCTAGCAGCGCCGAGGGTCTTCTGGCAGTTCCCTCCCTGCGAGAAGTGAGGTTACAGGGAACCAGGCAGAGGGCCTTCTCGGTAGTGGCACCTGCCCTGTGGAACGCCCTCCCATCAGATGTCAAGAAAATAAAGAACTATCTGACTTTTAGAAGACACCTGAAGGCAGCCCTGTTTAGGGAAGTTTTTAATGTTTGATGTTTTATTATGTTTTTAATATTCTGTTGGGAGCTGCCCAGAGTGGCTGGGGAGGCCCAGCCAGGTAGGCAGGGTATAAGTAATAAATTTATTATTGTTGTTATAGCACTACCTCTGTTATTTATCCCATCACACATTGAGTTTTAGATTGAAAACCATCAGAGTAGGGCCTGTCAGCTGGAATTTTGTAATTCTGTGTGCCAAAGGGTCTGCCCTGCTACTGAAATAGCAAATATTTCACGGTATGGAGAAATTATAGAAATCATGAACATTTCTATCTGCAAAGTTGTATTAAAATACTCCAGTTATTTTAGGTCTTCCTAGATCAGGGATAGGCAACCTAAGGCCCGTGGGCCGGATGTGGCCCAATCGCCTTCTCAATCCGGCCCACGGACAGTCCGGGACTCAGCATGTTTTTACATGAGTAGAATGTGTGCTTTTATTTAAAATGCATCTCTGGGTTATTTGTGGGGCATAGGAATTCAGTTTTTTCCCCTTCCAAAATATAGTCCGACCCCCCACATGGTCTGAGGGACGGTGGACCGCCCCACGGCTGAAAAAGTTTGCTGACCCCTGTGTCCTGGATACATAAAAATGTAAGGTGTCATCACACTTTGCAGTTCATTTGACCGCCAATAGGTGGTCACAGTAACTGCCATGGATGCTGTAGTTCAGATTCCTGCATTATAAGGGGTTGGACCAGATGACCCCTGGGGTGCCCCCAACTCTACAATTTTATGGATGGCCAGCCCAGGAGAGCTGTTTAATGAAGGGGGGAGCAGGCAGTGTGCTGGATCCAGTCTCTCCCCCCCCCTTGAATGCTTTTGGGCTTGATACACATTTCAGGTTCCATGGAAGCTCGTATCCCTTTTATATGTAACATTTGGGGGTTTCCCTTTAGTGGACGAACGTATTTTAAAAAGAATAATTTACAAAATCAAGCCCATCAATTACCAGAGCAAAGGCCCACTGTTATGCTGCTTATTTTGGGGTGGTGATGGTGGAGAGATCGCATCTTGCTTCTGATGCAAGAAAGCTTCCCAAAATAGGTATTGCAACCATCATTCCCTTTATATTGTACAAGCTTTCAAAAGTGTACAATACAAAAAACTGATATGAAAACCAGCCCCAACTTGGATTCAGGGTGGCGCTGTGGGTTAAACCACAGAGCCTAGGACTTCGAAAGCACACCAGCGCAAGTAGATGAATAGGTACCGCTCCAGCGGAAAGGTAAACGGTGTTTCCGTGCGCTGCTCTGGTTTGCCAGAAGGGGCTTAGTCATGCTGGCCACATGACCCGGAAGCTGTACGCTGGCTCCCTCGGCCAATAAAGCGAGATGAGCGCTGTAACCCCAGAGTCGGCCATGACTGGACCTAATGGTCAGGGGTCCCTTTACCTTTACCTTACAATCTACATGGCATCATACTTTTACGGGTGTCCCTGCCTACAGTGTCTCCAGAACACCCTAGGTGTATTTAGTTTGCTTCTCCAGCGATATTATAAACCCACAACTCCATGCCAGTAGTATTTTGCACACCCAACTTTTATCTTATTACTAAGCTAAAATCTACTTTCTCACTGGGAAGAGATAAGGATATCTTCTAGCAGGAGGTACCTACCCTGACTCTCTCCATTTGAGTGCTGAAAGGGTAAAGGAGTTCAAACAAGATCAGCCCCAAAGAAAAGATATCCACTTTGTGTGAATAAGCGTTTCCATAGACCTAGAGAATTCAAGACAAAAAAAGTGGTGGTCAAGCAATTGGATCTTTTGAACTCATGCAGGCCACAATTATTCCTTCCTACACCTGTCTCTGACCAAACCCAACAAAATATACAGAACTGGAGCGAACTGTGTATCAGCTGATATCTAATCATCTTTAGCTGGTTTTAATAAACGTTAATGGATAATAATTTCATTGTAAGACACCACAATTAGTTGAAGAGCATGAAAATGGTACAGACTTACTATGCCTGTAACTCAAAAATCTACTTCATAACAGCAGCCAACTAATACATGCAACAATATTGAGGAATGTGGGAAACCCCTTCACACATATACACCAACCCATGAATGGTGTGTATTTTCAAATAAAATGTTATTCGCAACAGTAACCCCTCCCTCTAATAAACTGTAACCAAGTGGCACCAACTGAGAAGAGATTGGGATGTTCAGGGGTCCCATGAGGCTGCAGAGATATGCATCTTTAGAAAGAACCCTAAGGGACTCCAGCTCAAAACAGACCAATGAGGACAGCGCATCCATTAAGAGTCCCTTGAAGGGTGAACGGATAGCAGGGACAGGATGGACTATCATGCAAGAGGGCGTGGCTGGCTGGACAGGAAACAGGGGCACTTCACACTGCAATGTTTTATTGCAGGCCACACTTGCAAATATCTGTTCCTTGACACCCTATACAGTGCTCACTGGAAGGACAGATCCTGAAGCCGAGGCTCCAATACTTTGGCCACCTCATGAGAAGAGAAGACTCCCTGGTAAAGACCCTGATGTTGGGAAAGATTGAGGGCACAAGGAGAAGGGGATGACAGAGGACAAGATGGTTGGACAGTGTTCTCGAAGCTGCTAACATTAGCTTGACCAAACTGCGGGAGGCAGTGGAAGACGGGAGTGCCTGGCGTGCTCTGGTCCATGGGGTCACGAAGAGTCGGACACGACTAAACAACAACAACTGTCTGAAAACACGTAATGACACCCAGAAATATTTTAAAACATTATTCTACATTTACAAAAAGTTGAAGTTATATGATTCTCCAGTGTACAGAATTTTTAAAAACCAGCCACCAATGAATGTAATGAAAGCCAATATAATATTTAAAGCCTGAAAAGGCTACATACACTCTCAGCAATCCTCACTAAAACCTTGTAGAATGGAACAGAAATATTATTATTATTATTATTATTATTATTATTATTATTATTATTATCTGATTTTATATACCGCCTTATACCTGGAGGTCCCTATTCCCATATTGTAGAGGAGTGCTGAAACTGGGAAAAAGAGTTGTTTGTCCAATGTCACTTAGTCAGCTTGTACCCGAGACAAGATTTAAAAAAACCAACAGCTTCTTGGTTCACAGTTCATATTTACAGTCAATAAGCTGCTCTAGCATCTAGGTTTTAAAAATTAAAGTGGCATTTAGCTCTGCTGATTAAAACCAAGGCATAGGGCGCACCTGTTCTGGGCTCATGTAGAGCTTGGTCCCAACTTGCCCCGTGTGCCTGTCATAAGCTGGCATTGGTGTTAGAACAGAGTTGTCTTCTTCGTCTTGGTCCATTTCAGTCACGAGTCCGAAATCCCCAACTTTTACTATGTCATCCATTGTGAAAAATATGTTGGAGGGCTAGAAGAAAAACAGATCGAGTGAGCACGTGGAGGGCCAAGTCAATATATTAAGTAAGACCTAGCTTGCTGTCCACATCTAGCAGGTCCTGTTCAACTGTGTCAATGCATTTTCCTAATTTGCTGAGCCCTACAACATTTGGGACGCGGGTGGGACTGTGGGTTAAACCACAGAGCCTAGGACTTGCCGATCAGAAGGTCGGCGGTTTGAAACCCTGCGATGGGGTGAGCTCCCATTGCTTGGTCCCCATTCCTGCCAACCTAGCAGTTCGAAAGCATGTCAAAGTGCAAGTAGATAATTAGGTACCGCTCCGGCGGGAAGGTAAACGGTGTTTCCGTGCGCTGCTCTGGTTTGCCAGAAGCGGCTTAGTCCTGCTGGCCACATGACCCGGAAGCTGTACGCCAGCTCCCTCGGCCAGTAAAGCAAGATGAGCGCTGCAACCCCAGAGTCGGTCACAACTGGACCTAATGGTCAGGGGTCCCTTTACCTTTACCCTTACCTACAACATTTGTGGAAGATAGCCTTTGTCTAACCAAAATGTAAAACACACATGTGCTGATCTGAAAGCCATCCTGAAGACTCTGTTGACTTTGGTGGAGGACAATAGCTTCAAAATAAAATAGAAGCGGTGGTGGCACACTTTACAGGTGTAAAGCAGAAGCAGAGTGTTCCACAGTGGCAGCATTATGCCAGACAAGGATAGTATTTTGATGGGGAAGTAATGTGAGAAGCAGACACCTTTCTCCCTCTTCCTCCTGCTTGGCGTATGCTCTGTGACCGAAACTCCTTGGTTTCAGAGGCCGGATTGTACCTGCGCTACAGCTCACAGAAGTGCAACCAAGTCCTTGAAGGAACTTTCCCCCTCTTTTGAGAGCACATCCGCCACCTTTCTGCCTTATGTCAACCCCCAAGGTGGTTCACTGCAGCTGGGGGCAGCATGGGGGAGATCAGGGGAAAAGTTATCCGAGTTGCCAAAGCCATTGCTGATCCCTTTGAGACTGCATAGCCTTCTCTTCAGTGGAGGGCAATGATCCTTGAAGGCAACTGGAAAGGTTGCAGAAACCAAAGGAATCAACAATGCTCTCAACTGAAGATGATTGCCGCTGCTCCCACTTAAGCTGCAGTGTTTTTAGTAGAAGTGTTTTGCCTTGGTTTGCTTCTTGGCCACAAGGGACCATCTGACGCCTGAATGGCCTCTGCTGCACTGAAAGTGGTACATGACCAATGGACAGAAACCAAGGACATGGTGTATTCATCATCACCCTTACACATTCTTAATATTTTTCCCAAGTACTAGATTAAGGCCTTAGCGCTGTGGGTTAAACCACAGAGCCTAGGACTTGCTGATCAGAAGGTCGGCGGTTCAAATCCCCGCGATGGGGTGAGCTCCCATTGCTCGGTCCCTGCTCCTGCCAACCTATCAGTTCAAAAGCACGTCAAAGTGCAAGTAGATAAATAGGTACCGCTCTGGTGGGAAGGTAAACGGCGTTTCCGTGCGCTGCTCTGGTTCACCAGAAGCGGCTTAGTCATGCTGGCCACATGACCTGGAAGCTGTACACCGGCTCCCTCGGCCAGTAAAGCAAGATGAGCGCTGCAACCGCAGAGTCGGCCACATCTGGACCTAATGGTCAGGGGTCCTTTACTTAAGTGCATAAGCCAGAAACAAATACTCTAGTGCCCAATAAAATGGGGAACCTGGTATTACAAGTTTTGGGATTGTAGTCAACTTAGTTCTACTCAGTGAAGGCCCACCAAGTAAGGCATGCATTGAATGGGTCGACTTTGAATTTGACTAAGCTCCCTCTTAAATCAGACTGCCTCGAAAATACTCCTCAGATTCTTTTCAGTTTATAGACATGATAGAGGATGAAGGGACATGCGAAGATATACAAAGGGGAACAAGTGAAAGCTTAAGCTGCATGTGTAACACACATCTACAACTAATGAACAGGAAGGATGCTCTGACACAGGTAGAATGCACAAGAAGAAATAATCATATGGAGAAAGAAATCTGAATTGATGTAACCAACTGCTTCAGATCCTATCAAGTACATTTCAAAGAGAACAATGGTTTCTTAAGGTCAGGTCAGAACAGCAGTTCCTTGAAAATCTGTATAGTGGTACCTCGGGTTAAGTACTTAATTCGTTCCAGAGGTCCGTTCTTAATCTGAAACTGTTCTTAACCTGAAGCACCACTTTAGCTAATGGGGTCTCCCGCTGCTGCCGCACTGCTGGAGCACAATTTCTGTTCTCATCCTGAAGCAAAGTTCTTAACCTGAAGCACTATTTCTGGGTTAGCAGAGTCTGTAACCTGAAATGTCTGTAACCTGAAGTGTATGTAACCCGAGGTACCACTGTATCTTAAATCAAACAGAGTGAAGTTGCACATGGAAGATGTAGCAACTACTGTGGGAGCATTGTGCTACAGTTCCCAGTTTGGACTCTGGGTCAGCCACACTAATCCCTCATTTGATACTCTGCTAAAGGGCAAAGGGTGGCGCTGTGGGTAAAACTTCAGCGACTAGGACTTGCCGATCGCATGGTCGGCGGTTCAAATCCCCGCGGCGGGGTGCGCTCCCGTTGCTCGGTCCCAGCGCCTGCCAACCTAGCAGTTCGAAAGCACCCCCGGGTGCAAGTAGATAAATAGGGACCGCTTACTAGCGGGAAGGTAAACGGCGTTTCTGTGTGCTGCGCTGGCTCGCCAGAGCAGCTTCGTCACGCTGGCCACGTGACCCGGAAGTGTCTTCGGACAGCGCTGGCTCCCGGTCTCTAGAGTGAGATGAGCGCACAACCCTAGAGTCTGTCAAGACTGGCCCGTACCGGCAGGGGTACCTTTACCTTTAAAGGGCAAAGAGCAATGAACACAATTCATGGGGTTCCCAAGCATGCACATGCAGACTCCTAACCAGCTTGTGCTAAGGAACTGAAAGTTTATAGTCAACGGTGTTGTTTTCCGGTACAAACCTTGAGGTCCCGATGCATTAACCCTTTCCCATGCAGAAACTGAACAGCTTCTGCTATCTGTAGAAAGATCAGCAGGCAATCTGTCCTGTCTCTCTCCTCTATCGTACATCTTCTGTTCATCCAGTCTTTGAGGTTTTCTTTCCTACAGAGCTGCATCTGAATGTAAAGGTACACTTTTGGAGTGGTAGGCATGGCTTTTTGTGCAGAGTTCTTAGAGAAGTCTAGACTTAAGGTCGTTGGTCTTGGCGGAGAAACAGACAAAGGACTTGTTGAAGAGGACTTCCTGTTACTGGATCCTTTTGTGCTTGTTGCTTTATCCTCACAGTGGCTATTGTCAAGTGAGCCGTCCGTGTTACTTTCTTTACTAGAAGTATTATCACAACCGGAGTCTTCAAAGACAATAGACGAAGAGGTCCTCTCCCTCACTCTCACTGCTGGCATGGCTGGAAGACAAAGTTCAAAGGAGTTTCCAGGATCATTTTCATCAACAGTACTACCCTCCATATCACAGTCGGCAAGGAAGCTGTCTTGCATGTTTGACACAGGATCTGCCAACTGGCTCAAGTCTCCGTTATCAATGGCAGAGAATTCCAAAGGGTAGAACTGGCTCTCTGATGAATCCGATTGGCCACAAGGTATCCCAACAGAAAGCAAGGTCTTCCTTTCTACAGATGTAGCAATAACTTCAATGTGTTCCTTTGCAGAGAATGGCTCAGTTCTAATTTTAAATGATGGCACTTCCATTGGGCTGGGAGAACTGAGTGGCCAATCAGTACTTAATTAAAAAAAAAGGAGAACAGAACATTACAAAACTTTTGGTCATTTAAAAATGCATTACCTAAAGAACAGTATCAGCATAGCTTTGGATTTTCTTTCTCAAAATACTGTAGAAGTATAAACAAGTTAAACTAACATAAAAAAAACTGCCACCAGCTACTGGGAACCACCATCAAATATTTTTTCACCATTATTTTTTCAACCATCAGTGTTTTACCTTTTTTTTAACCTATGGACAGTATAACAAGGAATGTCCCCCTGAACCTTTTTGATACTTCCCTGTGAGGTGGCACTCCTACCACCAAATGTTCCAGAAAACCACATCACTGATTGGACAGGACACAGCATCAGGTTACATCCTCACCCCTTTTCTAATCTCCCCCTATTAAAGAATCTAGGGCAGGTAATTCTTTAAAAAGCAATATAATCAAAAATGTAACTTACTTTATGCAAAAACAAATTTGAGATAGCCCATGTTTGCTTATCCCTAACCTTCAATCTGTTCTAGGTTCCCCTGTAAGTCAATTGCTTATAAGCCATTTCTAAGTCTACAGTGTGCCGTAGTCACCTTCTATTGGAAATAAGTGCAGGTTACTTACCTGTAACACACATTCTTCAAGTGGCCTTCTGCAAAGGTACACATACAGAAACTGCAGCTCCACAGAGCAGCATCTTGGAAACTTCTAAAGCTAAAAATGGTGGGAGACTGTTACCCCTTCCCTGGAGAAAGAAGTTCCCTACATTACGCCTGTGCCTTGATGGGCAAGTGAGAGCCTTCCCATTCCTGAGTACCCACTTCTGGAGTGTGAAGACCAACTGAAAAGAGAGCCTGCAGGGGGAAGGAGTAACTGAACAGAAGGCAGTCAAAGAATCTTCCTTACAAGTAAGCAACCTGCCTTGCCTTGTTTGAAGTTTCTTACAGGCACGCATATGGCAGAGTAGCTGGCTGGCTTACTGGTGGTGAGTGAATACTAATCAGCTGAAAACACTACAGGGACGACCATTCCAAACACATGCCTATAGAATGGACCAAAAGGGTGCTGTCTTGCCAAATGTTTGAATGTCCAAAATGTGGAATGTCCACTCCACATCATTCTTAGAGTCAGAGAAGGACCGATTCAAAAAGTGATGACTAGTTGCACTTGAGCAAAGAGCCTGCAACATTCTGCCAAAATGATAACAACCAAAAAAAGCAGTTTTGTAAGACATAACTGCAGTTCACAGGTAACCAGAGGCTAAAACAGGCAGCTGTAAGTTAAGTCCAAGCTCCCTAAAGGGATGGACACATAGGCAGGCTAATGGGAGTTACAAAATAATTTCAGAAGATACTTATAAGGGATGAAACCACACTGAGTAGTAATCAACTGAACAACAATAGGCTGATAAGCAGAAAAGTGAAGAGGCAGGGAGGAGCTAGCCAGATCCAGGGCATGTTACAAAATCAACGGGGACAACTAAAGGCAATGCATCCTGTGCAGCCATATATGGTTTCTGAGTACCTAGCTTCCACAAGTTCAAAAGTACCATAGATGTAAAGGGACCCCTGACCGTTAGGTCCAGTCGCAGACAACTATGGGGTTACGGCGCTCATCTCGCTTTATTGGCCGAGGGAGCCGGCGTACAGCTTCCAGGTCATGTGGCCAGCATGACTAAGCCCCTTCTGGCAAACCAGAGCAGCGCACGGAAACGCCGTTTACCTTCCCGCCAGAGCGGTACCTATTTATCTACTTGCACCCGGGGGTGCTTTCAAACTGCTAGGTTGGCAGGAGCAGGGACCGAGCAACGGGAGCTCACCCCATCGCGGGGATTCGAACTGCCGCCCTTCTGATCAGCAAGCCCCGGGCTCTGTGGTTTAACCCACAGCATCAGCCGCATCCCTTCAAAAGTACCATACCCCAAGGTTAAATAGGGGCTGAAAGCTTCTACTGCACAAAGAAGTAGCAGCCCAGGTGCAAATGAGCACCATGAGTTGACATGCAATGTTTTGGTGGGCCAAAGATACTAGCATTGTTTTTATACTACTTGTTATGTGCAGATGATGCCACTCGGTAGCTTTGGGGCACTTTGAGATACTTGGACCCCATGTCCCAGTAAGCACAGAAGCCAAAAATGCTCATCGTGCATGAAGGGGTGTATTCTCCCACATTCAGAGGCATGGTGCCCATTGCAGGCATGTCTTAAATATTTTTCCTGTTTTCTCTTTATTAATCATCACTTCACTTGACATTCATTCAATGTTCTTCTTGTCATTCCATCTGCACTCAGGCTCAGATAGTGCGTAAGTGGGTTGTGCAACTGACTCAGCTTGCCCCTCTCCCTCTGAGTCAGTGTCCAAGCCACTGTCAGTTGTTTAGGTCACAGCTAAGCCCCTAGGCTTTGACTACATAGTTTTTACAATATTCCTTCAAGCCCAAGCAGTGCACGGAGCTTACAAGGGTCAATGATGCCGATAGAATCCCATTTGAGAATCCAGGCTGTGCTGAAAGTTGTACTAAAGAAGTCTCAGAACTCGAAGGCCTCAAACCTCAGAAAGCAGAAATGCCAGCATCAGGGTCAGGAGACAAACCCTGTCCAAAAGCCAGCAGATTGGGTCATGCCAGGGTAATGCGATGTTAACATATGAGCGTGCTGGAGGTGAAACAGTTAAACAGGTTACCCAATCAGGACCCAGGGGGTGGCATCAGAGGGACTATAAAACCAGCTCTGGGAGGGGCAAAGGGAGGAGTTTGTTGAGGAGTTCATTGGGAGTTGGGTGGTTGGTTGGAGTGGGAGTGAATTGGGATAGAGTTTGTGAGTAGGTTGAGTTAGTGTAGCGAAATAAACTGAGTCAGGAACAGTTAGGGGCTAGGAAGACAAGTAAATATCTGAGAGGTGGTTTACTGAGTGAGAGCAGGTAGTGGAAGTTATAGGTCTGGATAGGCACCCCATGAATGTAATTGACCGATACCGTTTATGAAACCACACGCTTGTTAAACTGCAATAAATAAACAGAAGTTTATGTTCCAATTTAAACCCTGACTGGACTCAGTATTGTACCAGGTAGGGCTTGGGTGGTGGCAGCGAGAAATAAAGTGGTGGCACAGGGATCAATAGACGGTGAAACGTCCGGGGACCCTGTGCGATCGCCACACAAGGGTCAATGATGCCGATAGAATCCCATTTGAGAATCCAGGCTGCGCTGAAGGTTGTACTAAAGAAGTCTCAGAACTCGAAGGCCTCAAACCTCAGAAAGCAGAAATGCCAGCATCAGGGTCAGGAGACAATCTCTGTCCAAAAGCCATTACAGGTTTTTAAAGCCCATTCCCACAAAGCGACAAAGTGCAGAGAACTATTTAATCAAGCCTGCTTAGTAAACCTGAGGCAGAAAATGCACAATACCACCCTCTGCTCCTCTCCCAAGAAGAAAGGCTTGTTGTTCCTGGGGACTGGGGACCTTCATCCCACAGCAATGAGAGTTTTAAAAGGGGTCATAGTACATGCAAGGCCAGGCAGTTCTCATGGCTACTGAAGGCCTAAGAAATAACTACAGGGGGGAAAGCCCATAAAAGCTCAAGAGTAAATTCTCCATGATGCTCCTCTGAAACTTCTCTTAAAGGGAGGGAGTGTGCTTTCTCCCACCTTTTAAAGCTCTATAAGTCTCTGGTTATTGTATTAACATCTCACTTTTCTTCCATCATGGATTTCAAAGTGGAGGTTCTCAGGTAAATCTCCCACCCAGGCACTAGCCAGGCCTAAGCCTGCTTAGCTTCTATAGGGTGGCTGCATCATTTGCCTGAGACCATGTCCTGTTTCCTGTGCAGATGCAGGTCCTGTATGTGTACTTGCATAAAGCCCATAAAGAAAAAGTTTTGAAACAAAGCAGTAAGATGAGCCAGCCGAGAGGCTGTCCAAGTACATGCATGTTATATTTTAAAAGCTAGTGCGAAACAAATCCGGTAGAAGATAGGAACAGCTAAACAAGGACTCATAGAATAGACAATTTTTATACAAACTGGAAGTTACAGTGCAGAAATATAGAGCTTTCTCATTTCTTGCAGTTGGAGTACAATACTTTCCAGGGAAGTATAATACTTTCCCGAGACTTTCCAGGAAATGAAAGTGATACCTTTCGTCTTTTAGCCACAGTTTGTCCATTCTTTCCTGCCAGCTTTCAGGCGGCGCTTCCAGCCATGCATTGAAATAGCGAACAATACAAGGATGTTCAAGTTTTGCTAATGCTTTTACTTCACGCATCACCTTCTCACGAGCCAATTCCCTAAAATTGAAAGAGTCATAATGTAAAACAGGGGTCAGCAAACTTTTTCAGCAGGGGGCCGGTCCACTGTCCCTCAGACCTTGTGGGGGGCTGGAATATATATTTTTTGAGGGGGGGGGATGAACAAATTCCTACGCCCCACAAATAACCCAGAGAAGCATTTTAAATAAAAGCACACATTCTACTCATGTAAAAACACGCTGGTTCCTGGACCGTCCGCGGGCCGGATTTAGAAGGCGATTGGGCCAGATCCAGCCCCTGGGACTTAGTTTGCCTACCCATGATGTAAAATAAAGAAGTCAGTTCTATGTGGGGGATGAACTGGGACAACTTTTAACTGTTGTGGTTATTTTAATTTATAAAAGACAAACTTCTGCTTCGAGTCTCATGCTCTGGTGTGTAGACACCACACCACAGGTACACTTTGTAAACAACAGTGCAGCAACTTATTACTAACACAGTTTTTTTCCTGCTTTGTTGGGATGAGAAAAAGTACCTAAGAAATGTTCAACAATGCCCCAGGAACTCTTTTGATGTGCCAGACATGTCCTAGGATGAGACCAAGTAGGACTGACATGTGGACCACAGTGCCACCTAGAGATGCATCACGTAAAGGAAGCCAGAAAATAAAAGACATTTACTCACCTATTTGGAAGACGAATTCTTTTAATAGCGTAGTTGCAGTCATCCACTTTATTTCTGGCTTCAAACACTACTCCAAATCCTCCACGACCTAGACACTGAATTGGCTCAAAGTCGGTTAGATATCTGCAAAAGAAAGAAAGGAAAATGCTTGTGATTAAGATCTGATTATGATGATGATGATTAGCAGTTCATCTAAAATACTGTCATACGTCGAGTTGTGTTTGCTTCACGTTGCGTTTTTTCAGGTTATGAACGCGGCAAACCCAGAAGTGTTTACTTATGGGTTTGCCACTTCGTGCATGCGCAGGAGCGCTCTATCATGTCACGTGCATAAGCGCCGCTCTACTCACAGACTTTTTGGGGTGAAAACGGCACCCCGGAACGGATCGCGTCCGTAAGTAGAGGTACCACTGTACTAGAGACGTATTTTGGTTTACTTTTGCACACAAAAGTGGTTTAAGTACATTCAGCCAAATATTCCTCTTAAAACATAGGAAGATTCCTTACACCGTATCAGCTCATTACTATGTCCAGCTGGGTATTGTTGAAGCGAGATGAGCGCCGCACCCCATAGTCACATTTGACAGGACTTAACCGTCCAGGGGTCCTTTACCTGTTGACAATGACTCGGAGCACCTCTCCAGGGTTTCATACAGGAGTCCTCCCCAGCCCTAACTGGAGATACCAGGGATTGAATCTGGGGCCTTCTGCACACCGATGCTCTTATCACTGAGCTAAAACCTACCACACTGTACTCTAATGTAACATCTTCTGGTAACTAGAGCATTTTATTTATTTATTTAAGGAAATCCTTTCCACGCAAAGGGCATCTTTTAAGTAAGTAAGCCTCCAACAGCACCCACCCCGTGTTTCAGAGCCACAACAACAAGAGGCATACAACATAAGGTAAAGGGACCCCTGACCATTAGGTCCAGTTGTGACTGACTCTGGGGTTGCAGTGCTCATCTCGCTTTACTGGCCGAGGGAGCCGGCGTTTGTCCGCAGACAGCTTCCGAGTCATGTGGCCAGCATGACCAAGCCACTTCTGGCGAACCAGAGCAGTGCACGGAAACGCCATTTACCTTCCCACTGGAGCGGTACCTATTTATCTACTTGCACTTTGACGTGCTTTCAAACTGCTAGGTTGGCAGGAGCAGGGACCGAGCAACGGGAGCTCACCCTGTCGCAGGGATTCGAACCGCCGACCTTCTGATTAGCAAGTCCTAGGCTCTGTGGTTTAACCCACAGCGCCACAACATACACTTTCTATTTATTTCCTCTTAAAAACTGTACCTTGTGCTATGTAGGAGGCTGCTTTCAAAGCTCCCCCGAGTTTGAGGGATGGCTGGTTGAGTTTTACAGAGAAGGAGAATTGCTTTTGGAAAGAGGGACTCAGAAAGAATGCAAGTCCATTACATTCCAAATGGTGCACAGAAGAGAGGGAGAGAAAAGTAATTGCTTTTACCTTGACACATATCCCGAGTTCTGAAAGTCTCCCCAGCTGTTATCTTTAGCCTGTCCAACTGCAGGTTCATATTTACTGTCCGTCTGACACTGAGTTTCAGACTCCTTCCGCTGCTGAGATAGGAACAGATTGTTTATAACTGAGGCAGCTCAATACTAACTTTATTGACAAGGATGGAAGAACAAAATTTAAAAAGGTAGTGCTACATCCTGGTCACCACACACAAAAATTGGGGGAGGGGAGAGAGAAGGGACATGATTTTCATAAGCTAACATTTGGAGGTTGTTTTAGGTAACAGTAACTTCCTGCATGACATGGCAGGGAGTTGCTTTGAGGACAAAGCAATAGTTTGCTAACAACATTTTCCCACACCCTTCTAATAGTAGATGAGCTTTTCCACTCTGCAGTGACACAGCAGAGGCTTGTTGAAGCCTTGAAAACCTTTAAATAATTAAAAGTAACTAAGCTGCAAGATGGGATAGGCACCGAGGGAGTGGTGTCATCATTCACAATCTCGGGTAAATTGTAACTGCACATGGCAATTGCCACGTGCTTGACACCTGGAATAACATTATATCATTTATAAACTGCCTCAATCTCTAGATGCTGTACAACCGATTGTCAGATAATTAGAAAAGAGGAAGGTAAAGAGTTCACTACATCTAGAACTGCGAAAACATGACCATTGCAACTGCAATGTGGAAGCTTCAAAGCACAGCTTCAAAGGGAAGTTCTTGCTCTGGATGTAACTACCTGGTTGTATAAATTTCTATTAAAAGTAACGATCAGGACAAGTGCCTGAGACAATCTAGTAGTCAGTTCTTATGACAACCTACTGATTTATGTGAAACCAAAGCAAGCTCGTATTAAGTTCATAAGCGCTGCATTTCATTACTTGAATAAATGCAATCTAAAACATGAAAAGCCTCAAAAGGGAAAACGTGCAGTTACACTTCAAGAATCGATTCACTCTACTTACTCGATTGCGAACATGCGGGTGGAAAAGTCTACGCACAATAAAAGTTGTGGCCACAATGCATAATATGATGGTGCTAATGATTTCTTTCCACCAGTGCAGAAGTAGAACTGGATCTTTTTTGCGGATGTTTTGTGGATAGTTCATGTCAGCAAATCTCACAGTGATCTGGGTGCTTCGTCTGTGCCTCTCTCGAGTGTAGTAGGGCAAAAAATAACCATTATCTATATTTAAAAAAAAGTGAACAAAGGGTATAAGAATGTTTTCGTAAATCTACAAACCACCAGGTAGTACTAATCTTTCAATAAATAAAATTTCCCCTTTCAAATGTTGTTGACCAGTGAACACCCCATGTAGTGGCCAAAGACACTGGCTAGAATCTAAAGATTATGTCCAACTTTAGGCAAATCCAGTGAGAATTTTGATATTTTGTCCTTTGAACAGTGACTCTCTATACCAGGGATGTTCAAGAAGTCGATCGCGATCTACTGGTAGATCCCCGTGGGGTTTTGGTAGATCGCGGTCGATCTCTGGCTCCCTTTCCTTAGCGTTGCTAAAACTGACTCCTGTCACGCCCCCTTGCCCTGCCCTCCATTGTTGTATGATCTCTGTAAGGGAAGAGAATAGCTTTCTCAGTGCTGCTGTTCTGATCCATAACGATGTTTTTGCGAGTGACTTTGCCCCTTGCCTTTAACCCCCCCAAAAGAGAACTCCCCCCACAAAAAAGCTTTTTAAACCCCTTTTAAAAATGGGGCTTTCCTCCTCCCTAAAAAAAGCTCCACAACTTTGAGCTGAACCCCCCAAAAAAGGGGGTAGATCACTGCCAGTTTTTAATTCTGAAAGTAGATTGCAGTCTCTTGAGAGTTGGCCACCCCTGCTCTATACCATACTAGAAGATTTTTGAAATCTCATAGAAAGCTACCAAGTCAAACCATTGGTCCTTTTGGTTCAGTACAGTCTACAGCAAGTGTGGGGAATCTTTGGCCCTCTGTATGTTTCTGAGCTACAACCAGCTAGCATGATGCGAATTGTAGTTCTGAAACATCTGGAGGGCTAACGGTTCCCCACACTTGGTCTATGCTAAATGGCAGCGGCTTTCCAGGATTTCAGGTCTCTCCCGGCCCTAACTGGAGATACCAGGGATTGAACCTATGGATTTTCCTCATGGCTCTCCTTCCTTTTGAGATGGGTTTTGCAATGCAGCATGGAGGCTGCTCTTCAAGAACGATGCAGAAAGCTTCCTTGGGCTGAGGTTCTCTATAGGGCTGACAAACCCTTCCAGTACAGTGGTATCTCGGATTAAGAACTTAATTCGTTCTGGAGGTCCATTCTTAACCTGAAACTGTTTTTAACCTGAAGCACCACTTTAGCTAATGGGGCCTCCCGCTGCTGCTGCGCCGCTGCTGTGCAATTTCTGTTCTCATCCTGAAGCAAAGTTCTTAACCCAAGGTACTATTTCTGAGTTAGTGGAGTCTGTAACCTGAAGCATCTGTAACCTGAAGCGTATGTAACCCGAGGTACCACGATATTCAGAAGACAGCCATCTCAATTTATTTAGAGGCTAACAATTAGGGTTCCACAGATACTATGATTTATTTCAACTAGGTTTTGTTACTGTAAGTATAAAAAGGAGCTAGGGGTTTCACTTATCAAAACCATGGATGAAAACAAAGCATAGCTCACACACACCATAGGGATACTGCAGGACGGAAAGGGCACCATTACTGTATTCTTCATGAGAAAACTTGTCATTGCTGAGACATTTGTCAAACTCATCTGATCCCACCAGCACAGGAGTTCTAGAAGGAGAATCTAGAAACAACGCATAATTTTCAGAGTGAGTCTGTTTCACACATTACATTTGAATGAGCATTCCTGCATGCATAAAACCTTTCAGAAATCCTAAATAGTGCTTCTAGAAATGGCTACCATCATCCAGAGCAGGGGGGTGAGGAACCTTTTTGGCCTGGTGGGCCAGATCTTCATCTTCCTCCACAATGAGGACCAACTTAGACAGGTAGCATCATGATGACAGGTAACTGACAAGTGGGACAGGTAACTGACAACTGCCCACCCTAGAAAGTTGACCTGACGGTGGAGAGAGAGAGCCAGCTTTGCTAGCACATTCCCCGCTGGGAAATTACTAGTAAAGCAGCACCAAGCAGGACTGAACCTCACCAGTCAGCTGACAGATCGACTGGTGGGTGTAGTTGGGGGCTTTTGGGGGGGAGGGAATTGCCTTGCAGGCCAAATCTGGATCACCTGGCAGAGGTTCCTTACCCCTGTTCTATAATTTCAAGCTTTTCTATTGCTGGGAAAAATGTACACCTGACAATTGTTAAAACGCCTCAGCTAGAAAACTCAATAAGCAGTGATAGTTTTTCTGTGGAAAATCCTCCATTTTTAGAAATGCCTTATGTACTGAAATTAGTAACCTAATGAATAAATGTAATGCCAGCTAAGTTGGCTCTGTGGAATGATCAGTATACAGTCTAATATAAGAAATTAAAGTTGCAATTAACTTTTTTCAGATGGCTATCCTTAGAATGAATTAACAAATAAATAAATGCAAAGCACAGCTTTGCAGGCATGTTAAAATTCCCAGCACTTTTTCAGTGCTTTCATTCCCTCCCACCACTCAAAATGTAAACAAGGTTAGAAAATAATATGCCATGCTGTGTCATGTTTTACAATATTTACAAGTATTCTGGCAAATGTAGCTTCTATGTAAAGCAAGTGTGGGTAGCATGTGAACCTCTAGATGTTACTGGACTACAACTCCCATCATTCTTGGCCATTGGCCAAGCTTGCTGGGGCTGATGGGAATTGTTGTAGTAGAGCAATGTCTGGAGGGCCAAAGGTTCCCACACTTGATGTAAAGCTTTGAATTAGTTTCAACGAAACACTTGAATCCACTCGGAGTGCAGTTTCGTGACACCCCACCATCAGTAATCAGACATCTCGTGTCAACTATATTCAAGATATACCGTATTTTTCGCTCCATAAGACGCACCAGACCACAAGACACACCTAGTTTTTGGAGGAGGAAAACAAGAAAAAAAATATTCCGAATCTCAGAAGCCAGAACAGCAAGAGGGATCGCTGCGCAGCGAAAGCAGCAATCCCTCTTGCTGTTCTGGCTTCTGGGATAGCTGCGCAGCCTCCATTCGCTCCATAAGACGCACACACATTTCCCCTTACTTTTTAGGAGGGAAAAAGTGAGTCTTATAGAGCAAAAAATACGGTACTTTCGAAAACAGTAATAAAACTCTCTATCAATTTTATGGCCTATCAACTTTCAATCTGAAAAAAAGCTAAGGAACATCACTTACGAATCAATGGTTTCCACTTGATTACAGGCAAAGGGATAACAGCATTATCATTTCTGGACTCCAAAGCTTTAGGGTTGGTTGGGAACTTATCAGAAATTCTGACTGATGACTGAAGGTACAGCTGGCCTTTGTACATTCCTGCATAATAAACCACAGATCATTATTTATCTCAGGGATCATCATTTTACTTGTGTGCACCTTTAAGAATAGAGGGGAAGAGAATACAAATGCGTGAATTCTATAGCAATGCAAAAGATGCACTGCCTACATTGTAAGATGATATTATTACATCTACCTACCATATTTTTCCGTCTATAAGACACCCCCATGTATAAGATACCCCCTATTTTGTGGGACTCAAATTTAAGAAAAGAGGGGGAGATGGTCCAGAGTATAAGACGCCCCCTAATTATTAACATTATTTTTCAGGGGGGGGGGACCTAGTCTTATACACGGAAAAATACGGCACCTAAGAATACGAAACATGTACAAGAAACGAATTAAGAAATGGAATCATTTTCATAACCTAGCAGCTATTTAACATTCTTGCTCTATGCAGCTTTTAAGCAAGAAAATCTGCAGAAGTATAAAACTGAAGCAACCACTGGAGACTCCACTTGCCTTAGTTGTTAAATCCCCCAAAAATCCAATTGGAAGGAGCCACCCTATCCAGGATGTCATCCTCTTCCAAAGAAGGACAATCGGTGAGCTCACAACTTCATGACTCATGAGCTCTGAGGATTGGTTCATTATTTATAAGAAAAGCCAGAGATAAAAACTTTAAAGTACAAGTAAACACTACTGCAATATTGCATGCTTCAGCCCAAGGCCAAATGAATTTTGACAGATGGTCAAGAAGTTAGTTACAACAAAATCTAGCAGTCTCATTTATTAATTTTCAGGAATGTGCACATAGTAGTGGAAGGTTGGAAGCACAGACAAATATTTCTGAATTTCAATTCACTAGAAAGAATGAAAGCCACCCACTGTAGGAGTAGGGGAAACTCTGAAAAAAAAGAGCGAGTGAAGGACAGATACTTTATAAGACGTCATGTCTATGGCAAACATTAAGTCTTATCAGCAATTCACCGACAACAGAGAAAAGGCCTACTCTAATCGAACTACTCTCTATTTGTGGGTTTAGTTAAAATCATACTATTTGTGCATATAATGGGACAGTACTTTACATTGCTTAGTAACTCCAGCTGCAATAATAAGCTAAGGTTGTACTTAACCCCCAACACTTACTAGAAATGAGATCCCACTGAATTAAACAGAATTTACTTCTGAGTAAACATGCACAGGATCAGGATGAAAATGCACAGTTCATATTGATGCATGGCTTTTGTGTCAAGAACAATGCACTGATGCAACAAATATTCCACTGCCAAAGCAAAACACACAATACTTTGGATTTCTACCATGTTGTTCTTTGGCTTTTGCTGAAACGCTTAAATTAATTATACCCACCTAAAACGAAAAGAAAAACCAAGAATCTGTCTACTAAGGGTTTGGACAACGCAAAGATTATGTCTTGTGTTGAAAGTTGGTGCTGTACCTAAATAGACACTGGACTCTGTAGCTCCTCTTGCAGCTTCCACTATGTCTTCTTCATCTTCTAAGACATCACTATTGGAGGTGTAGCTCGTGTCATCAAAGAGGCTAATTGGAATTACCTTGCCATCCTTAACCAGCCAGGCAGAAGCAACAGGTGTGCAAAACTGCAGATAAAGTATGAATATTTGAAAATCAGTTCAATGCATTTTCTCTGTAATACCAAATCTTTTAAGAGCACAGCTTTTCATGAACTCAAAAAGTGAACATATTACAAAAGCAAAACATTAAAAAACAAGCCTCAAATTCCAGAAAGATGCAAGGTATTTTTGGCAATGCTGTAATATTTCTAGAAAGCGTCAAAATGTTACCATCTTTAGTACCTGGTATTCCCATTCCAGATGTCCTCCCTGCTTATTAAATGCCATCACCTTCCAGTCGGCTACTGAGACCTTTATCACTGTATCCTTCATTACAGCCTCCTGCTCTTCCACATCTGAAATTATTTTAGAATCTTCTTTGTTTAGATTTGGTTTTAAATTGCCTTCAAGAAATCCCATTCTTTTTTCAGTGTCTGGAACATAGCGCAGTTCAAAGTGACCAACACTAAAATTCCACCTTTAAGTTAAAAAAAGAGAAGATGACAACCGTGACTGCAAATCAATCCAGTTTTTATAATATGTAAAAGGAGACAACATGGTATTTCTAAAGTAATGTAAGCCTATTTTGCACTGTAGTAATAAAGCATGTTATCTTCTAACATAGTACACAAGCTTTTGACTTCACACAAATCTTATCCACAGACTGGGTGGTTGATAAAGGAAGGGGAAAGCAGTACTTTTGCGCCAAAGGTAAAGGTAAAGGACCCCCGACAGTTAAGTCCAGTTGCATGCGACTGTGGGGTTGCAGTGCTCATCTCGCTTTACTGGCCGAGGGAGCCGGCGTTTGTCCGCAGACAGTTTTTCCGGGTCATGTGGCCAGCAGGACTAAGCCGCTACTGGCAAAACCAGAGAAGCACACGGAAACGCCGTTTCCCTTCCCGCCGGAGCGGTACCTATTTATCTACTTGCACTTTGACGTGCTTTCGAACTGCTAGGTTGGCAGGAGCTGGGACCAAGCAATGGGAGCTCACCCCGTTATGGGGATTCGAACCACCGACCTTCCAATCGGCAAGCCCAAGGCCAAAGCACGTTTGAAAACAAACAGCTTCTCTGCGTCTTCAAAGGAGGTTGCTATAATGTGAATACAGTTACAGCAACCCCCTTTGAAATTTGTAAAATGTCATTCACCTGACATCATCATCAATATTTAGTTCCCCACCCCTGTCTTAGCGCATCAATGTAGGCAGAATATCCCTCCAGTTCCTCCCAGCCTGGTATCTGCAAAAAACATCAGGGCACTGGGCAAACCTTTTCCTAGTTGTTGTGAAAATTGTAAAATCTATCAGAATTCAATGTCTTCTGGGTAAAGGAAAGAGAGAGCAGATTCAAGCATCTTCATAAAAACTAGACGTGTCAGATTCCTACTAAATTGTTGGAGTAAGAAAGAACATGAACTCTTCAAAGGGCAACAATCTGACAATGCACCTTCTGCTGCAGAAATTATTTACAAATCTCATATACTATGCGTGTCCGTACTTCTCATTGCCGCTGCGGGGCCCAACAGCACGAACAGTTTTCTGAGTTCGATGTAAAAGAAGAATATCTTCCTGTTCCATCTCGTCTTCATCCCAGCGACGGCAGCCCATGGCAGAGCAGATATACTTCACCTGAACAAGAAAGAGAAGTCTTAAAGGATCAGACATAGTTTTTTCAGTATATCCTTCTATTTACTAATCATACAAAAAGTGTGACTCTATTCCATTTTGCTCTCACCGTCCCATCATATTTGTACCCAGAGATGTAAAAATGGATTCCATACGCAAAACAATACTGAGGAAAAGTTGCAAACTAATATAAAAATTCATTAAAATGATACTTAGTATTAAAACATACTATGCCCATCACATAGGCAATTATTGTTGCTATGTTTTTAAGGCACAGAAGTTGGAGAGAGCTACTATTTTAATGCTATCATTGAGTTTCTATTGTACTGGATGTGCAATGTGCTCTACATGGGGCTGCCCTTGAAGGCAACTCAGAAATTTCAATTGGTCCAAATTGCAACAGCCCATTACTGGCTGGGGTTCCTTTAGATTGCACATGATCCTGTTTTAAAACAGCTGCATTGGTTGCCAGCATAATTCAAGGCACTCAAGCTACCTTTTTAAAGCCCTAAATAATTTAGGTCCCAAATATTTGAAAAACTGCCTTCTTTGCTACAGACCCTCTTGGCCAGTGATGGCCAAACTTGGCCCTCCACCTATTTTGGGACTACAACTCCCATCATCCCTATCTAACAGGACCAGTGGTCAGGGATGATGGGAATTGTAGTCCCAAAACAGCTGGAGGGCCATGTTTGGCCATCACTGCTCTTGGCAGTTAAGATTGGCAGTGGGTGGTTGTAGTCTGGGAGACTGCATTCTCTGTGGCAGCCCCAAGTTTGTGGAGCACCCTCTCGACAGTTGTGTGTCTGGCAACTTCACTGTACAGTTTTCGGTGAATGCTGAAGACATACCTCTTTTCCCTTGCCTTTGAAACCAGTGATGTCAATTTTAAGGAGTCACTCTATTTTTCTGGCTGTAGGTCACTTTAAGCTGCTTTTAATGTATTTAAAATTGTTGTAACCTGTCCTGAGGCCCAAGGATGAAAGGCAAGTAATAAATTTAAACAACCACCCTGCCCCCTGGTGGCTAGAAATAGAAACAATACAGCTTGGAAGCAGAATAGAAATTTGTAAAAATAAGCCAACCTCTGTAAGACCTAGAAAACTTCCAAGGTGGGCCAACGTTGTTACTCTATACAGTGGTACCTCGGGTTATATACGCTTCAGGTTACAGACTCCGCTAACCCAAAAATAGTGCCTCGGGTTAAGAACTTTGCTTCAGGACGAGAACAGAAATCGTGCTCCGGTGGCGCAGCAGCAGCAGGAGACCCCATTAGCTAAAGTGGTGCTTCAGGATAAGAACAGTTTCAGGTTAAAAACGGACCTCCGAAATGAATTAAGTACTTAACCCGAGGTACCACTGTATTACACATAGCGCTGAAATTCAGAGAGAGAATGGCTTGCCTAAATCCACCTTGTATGTGAGATTAAAACTGAGGCCTTATGGGAAATATGGAGTTGGATCCAGACATCTGCCAGCAAAAGGAGCTGGCTTACCCACCTCCTCATCCCTTCTCCCTCAACTTCTGCTGAGTGGAGTGAGCTGTGGTACAGGGAAACTGCTCAGCTCCACTTCCTTGTGCAAGATCCCTGAGTAAGATCCAGCCACTCAGCCCTGCTCAGAGGATTCTGGTGGGAGCCCTGCCTGGTGTGATACTAGGGAAGCACAAGGGCAAGAAATGCTACTACAATAACCCTGGTTCCATACAGGTTATTCCACAAGAAATTATATAATAAATAATCTTTAAGCAGTAACTAAGTAAGTGCATAAGTAGCCTCATCAATTTCAGTGAAGCTTACCTTGCTCCATCTGGGCTAAGTGAGAGTTTCTTTCTGGGAAACTGGTAAATTTCCATATATGTACAGCTTCTATTAAGAGCATGCAGCTGATAGCCAGAAGTAAAATGGGCCAGTGCTATCTGGTGCTGAGCGCATGATGTATTTTGATGTGCTCTCTTGCAAATATGTAAGAAAAAGTCTATCATCATTAAGAAACTTTTTACCTTTCCTGAATATGAGCTCAGCCCATATGTTGTCAAGGACTTCCCTCCAACCAGGACAACATCATCTCCAAATTTGTATGATGATTCAAGAAGAGATTCCACAGTGAAAGGGACAGCTTCCATGCTTTCTCTGTCACGATCCCATTGAAAAAGGTCCCCATCCAAGGAAGGAATTATCATCTTATTCCCAAATACCTACAAAGCATTAGAACAGAAATACATATAATGGCAACCAGGACACAAACATATTTTTTATCAATTTTGGGGCACAATGCAGTAATAATTTGTAGCTTAATCTCCATCGTTTGTCTTTTACATGTCTACTATACATTTTACATGTCTACTGTAAATTGTGAATATTCATTTTTAGCTACTTCCTCCACCTTTAGCTTGGCATAGATGGAAATGCCAGTTTGTGTGTTGTGTATTGGAATCTGCAATAGCTTTTATATGCATAGACATTCTCAATATTTATTTACATACCACTCAACAAGTGTTCTTTAGGCAGTTTACAGTAACAGTTAACACTATTTAGCAAACAAATAAAGCAAACATAGAATTTAAAGCAGAATAAATAAAAAAGCAGCAGAATAAAACCAAAGTAAAACTAGAAATAGAAAAAATAATAGTGCAGAATCACAATGCCCTAAACATCTTTTAGGACTGAAAAGCCCACCCACAAGACAAAGCCACTTCTGAGCTGGAGATTCCCAGCCCCCACAGGAATGAGGGAATCCTCAGGCGCATCATCTCCCTGTTCAGCCAATCAACTGGCCGGGGAGGTGTGTGGCCTAGGCTATTTATGGCCTGCGGGCCTGAGGAACGCCCTCTCTTTCCTGTTCCAGCTGACTCGGTTTCCCACCCCGCCCGCCCTTAGTTTCTGCTCTGACCTTGCTATGGACTTCAGTTGGTTGCCGTCAAGGGGCCTGGTAGGATTTTTTTCCACTTGGCAAATTGGCACCAGCCATTTGGTTTTTCGCCTACCTCATAGCAAATCGTCACAACTTCTCGGCATTGGTGGTTAGGCATTGGTAGGGGTATTGTTATGCAAATGAGGGGGGAAGGAAGCGCCATCACCTTCCCCCAAAGCAAAGGGTAGTCCAGTAAAGGATTCCCGGGGGGGGGGGGGCGTTGCCCTGTCCAAAGCCAATGGAGGTGTGGGCCTAAGGCACGCCCCCGAGCAGTGACCCCGGGGGAGCTCCTAGTTGATGTGCATCAGCAGGACTCCCCCTGCTGGTGGTTAACCCTTCCTGGACTTCAGCGGATGGGCTGAAGTCGGATATAGTCGATAGGACCAATGCCTAAGCCAATACCGCAAAATTCCTGCAATCAATAAAGTTGTGGCCTTTTCCGCCCATTAACCTTAAACACCGTGTCCTGTGTCTTTATTTCCAAGGGGGGAGGGGGACTTGCCACGCAAAATAGCTGCTAGGTGAGCCTCTCTGACACCATTCATTTTGCAGAGGCACCCAGAGGAGGAGGGAATATTTATTCATATTTCACCTCTCCCCATGTTGTTCAACATCTTTACAAATGACACTGATGAATGTATTGAGAGGATGCTCGTCAAATTTGCAGATGGCACCAAACTGGGAGGGGTAGTCAATGCCACTGAAGACAGAATCAGGATTCAATATGACCATAACAGATTGGAGAACTGCTCTCAAACTAACAAAACAAATTCAAATAGGGACAAATATAAGGTTCTACACATAGGGAAGAAGAACCCGCTGCACAAAATTAACATGGAGGACACCTGGCTTGTCAGTAGTTCATGTAAAAAGGATCTAGGGGGTCTTAGTAGACAACAAGCTTAAAACAAGTTAACAGTGTGACGCAGCAGCAAACAAGAACCCAACAAAACAAAACTAATGCTATTCTAGGCTGCATCAACAGAAGTATAGTGTATTGAACAAGGGAAGTAATAGTCTCGCTCTATTCTGCCATGGTCAGACCACACCTGGAGCGCTGTGTCCAGTTCTGGGCAGCACTATTTAAGAAGGGTATTGACAAGCTAGAATGTGTGCAAAGGAGAGCAGCCAAGATGATCAAGGGTCTGGAAATCAAGCCTTATGAGGCACGGTTGAGGGAAAAGAGGAGACTGAGCAGAGATAAGATAGTCATCAAATATCTAAAGGGCTGTCACATGGAGGATGGAACATACTTATTTTCTCCTGCTCTGGAGGCTAGCTAGGTTAGGGGGCTGTGACTGGCCCAATGTCACCCTATGATCTTCATAAGTGAGTGGGGATTTGAATGCTGATCTGCCAGGTTCTAGTCTGACACACTAACCACTACACCACACTGCCTTCCTGGAGTCCTCCTGCTATGGGGCAGCTATATAAATTTAGTAGGTAAATAAATATGGGGAAAGCAAAATCTCACTTAGAGAAGCATCTGAAATATTTGTTCTGTATTGTTTTATTTGATGTTTTAATGTGTTGTAAACCGCTTTGAGATTTAATAATAAAGTTTGCTGCAGTAAAGGCACCTGGACATTCCATTATAGTGACTGTAACCTAGGTTTAAGGCACCGTTTGCCGATTAGCTTATATGTCAGTTTCTGATGCTGATCTTGGCCTCTTCCAGCGATTGTTCCCTAGGAGAGAGAGTTGTTAACAGTGTCTAAAGCAGGGGTAGCCAAGGTGGAGCCCTCCTAAAGTTGCTGGACTACAGCTTCCATCATCCATCTAAACTGCCCATGCTGCTTGGGACTGATGGGAGTTGGCTACCCCAGTCTAAAGGAACTGGGAAGTTCCATCTGTCTTAGATAGTGGTGTGAGTGACTTCCTTTTTAAAATCTCTGCTTAAACTGCCATCTATGTTCTTGGATGATCAGATTTTAAAAAACAGAAACGAATATTTATCATTGCGCATGCATAAAGAATTCCCTGAATATGTAGAACAGCCTTCTTATTTTGGGGCAGCCTCATTTCATATGAAAACAGAAAGGCACTTGGCTATATGAATTAAATATAAGACAGAATTATAATGATTTCTGTTCAGTGAAGTTGAACAAATGATGACTTAAATTGACAGTTCACAAGGCATGTGTAAGTACCTTGTGATACCCTACATCCTTTGTATCAAGATAATTGGACATGACTGCCTGGATGACTCATTCTTGCATTAGATGAGATAATGCTTTAAGCAAAAAGGAAGAAGGGGGTGATGTCATTTCTTTACCTAACTTACATGCCTTTGCTGATTCTTACTGCCTCCCATGAAATCCCTTTCTACTTCCGCATGATAGTACACATTATTTGAACCTCTTCCTAATTCCACTGGGAGCCCATGCTCCCAATCTTTCTGGAGCATGTGGTGATCTCATCACTTGACTTATGCATACATCAACCAGAAGAGTCTGGTTTTAACTTCACTTTACTTCCTGAACTCTGAATTGTCTCCACTGGCATTGATTTCTGCTATTACAATCCTTCCTCAAGACCTTTGAGCCCTCCAATTTATAGTCTGGGTTTTCACCTGGGAGATTCCAGGTGAACTTTTTTAATTATACATGGCAGGAATATCCCTATTTAGAATGTTCTAAAGCAGTATACAGTGGTACCTCAGGTTAAGTACTTAATTCGTTCCGGAGGTCCGTTCTTAACCTGAAACTGTTCTTAACCTGAAGTACCACTTTAGCTAATGGGGCCTCCTGCTGCTGCCGTGCCGCCAGAGCACGATTTCTGTTCTTATCCTGAAGCAAAGTTCTTAACCTGAAGCACTATTTCTGGGTTAGCGGAGTCTGTAACCTGAAGCGTATGTAACCTGAAGCGTATGTAACCCGAGGTACCACTGTAACCAGTTTTTTATTTCTATATTCTCAAAAATTGTTGGTTCTTTGTTCTCATGCATAATGTGATTTGTCACTAATTTCTATTTATATAATCTTAGCTGTATTATCTGTTCAGCTGTTTTGTATTGGCCATCCCAGAATATCACACAGGTGCACTTCCTCTTACTGAGTGCTACAGGAAGCTTTGAACATGATCTGCAGTGGTAACTATAAGCAGACTGCTGTCTTTATGTGCAGGCTATGCATAGGCAGCCTAACATGGAATATGTATATTCTGTGTGTCCTTGACTGCTTTTAGGCATAAACCCTATAAATAGTGCAAGATGAGCATATCCCAACTGAAACTTCTTCACTTCTTCTTTCTTGGTTTCATCTACAGAATTCCAGTTCTCCTACACTGCTTCTTTAGAAGATCTTGTTTTTTCCCCTTAGGGATAAACTTTGTCTAGTGCTGGAATGTTGATTTAGTTGGTTAATGTACACCTGCTAATTCATTGGTTTGTGGCCAAAAATACCAAATAAATAGATCACCTGATTACCTAGTTTGCAAAGGTACGGAAGGATAAGAGGTCAGAACAACCCTAACTCCTGCTACCTTAGATTTTGAAAACTTAACCCTGTCTTCCCCACAGAGTACTCTGGTGACTTTGGTCACTTTTCTGTATAGTTATTTGCATTTATTTATAATCTACAAATTTAACTGTAATTAGGGTTCGCTCTTCCTGTCCACTGTCTACATGTGAATTCACTTGGGCTTGTTTTTTGCAGCGCTATGCTTATGTTTGCAGAGAAGGAAGTGAGAGAAGAGTGATTCCTTCCTTTAGGGAAAAGGCAGGCTGGTCATTCACCTTTCAAAAGCTGCATGGTATGACAATGAACTCTGCTGTTCTTGCGAAAATCTTTAGGGATTCTTCTTAAGCTGATTTGAGTCCCGTCATGGGTCCCTGCAGGACCCCATGTAACACATATTCCCCAGGCTGATGAGGAACCATTACTGAGCATTCTTTGGGTTTGGTCAGTCAACCAGCTACAGATCCACCTACGAGTTATCTCATCCAGTCCACATTTTACCAGTTTCTCCGCAAGAATAATACCCCACTCCCCATTTTAAAAGGCCATGGATTGTTTAATTAGCCAAAGGCCTGGGAGAAGAGGAATGTTTTCCTCTGGTGCCTAAAGATATGTAAGGAAGGTGCCAGGTATATATAGAAAACAAGTAACACAATCCCAGTGAACCAGGGTCTACAGTAACTCTTTATTAGAAATATATTTCAAGCACTTGCAACCATCTTTCACCTTTACTCCAGCTGGAGTAAATAAAACAATGAACAGAAAGAGGTGTGGCAATACAGGAAGATGAAATAGTCTGTAGCTATAGTATCTATGATAACTAGTCTGAGCAAGCAAGGATTCAGAATTAAAAACAAGGTTTGTAAGGTGAGAATGCAACTCAGTTCCCTACTTTGATCTGCAAAATGTTGTAATCACTAATTAAAGGTCTTTTACCTCAGTATCAACTAATCTTAACTGAAAGATTAAGAATTAAGTAATTAAGATTAAGTAGAATAATTATTAATAATTTTTAAGGTGTGGGAATAAGAATTAAGCAAAGGATAAATACTTCTCTCTCTTCTTTCGTTCTCTCTCTCTCTCTCTCTCTCTCTCTCTCTCTATCCAAGTTCAGACCAGCTGTTATAACCTTGGGTAATTATTTTGATATAGTACAACTTCATATTACTGCATTTCTAATTAAAAGTTAAACTCAAGTTGCATTTCAGCTGACTGAACAACCTTTAAGAAAATGCTCAGTGTGTTCTACAAGATGGAAAATAGATTTTTACTCTGAGGGAAATACCACTGATTTCAATACAACTCCCATGTAAATATATAAGGTCATGCAAGAATATTTTATAGTCAAAATTCAAAGACATGAAGTGTTTTAGAAGTACATATTTTGATTGTTTCTTTGCTGCCAAATGGATATAGGAATGCAGCCTAAAGATATTTTCTTCCATAGGGTTAATGCTATTCAAAATTAAGATACTAACTAGCTTATTGGAGGATTGTCAACCAGTGTGACTTTCAGTTCTGACAGGCTCTTAATGTTCAGGTCCCTAGAGAGGCACGGGGAAAAGGACTTTGACCTTTTTAATGCTGCCATTAATGGCCCTATTTGTTCTATTAATGGTCAGAAAAGGGAAGATTTGCAAAAGCAACTGAAGGAACTGCTACAACGGCATTCTATTGTAAGGAAGAAAAGTATTCTTTATTCATTTATACACTGCCTTTTGGCCAAGAAACCCAATAGATTTACAATTTAAAGTATCAGAGTCAACAAATAATATCCCCCCCCATGTCAACTTTAGGAACTGATGGAACAGGCTCTCTCCCCTAGCGTTCCTCACAGTCTTACTCAGAAGTAAGTCCAACAAAATTCATTGGTGCTTACTTCCATGTATTTTTGTAATAAATTTACTGGCTAGAAAATAAAAGAGTCAGATTAGGACAGGATCAAATCCATAATATCCCTACATTTTGTGTTTGGTACCAAAAAAACAATGCAAGTATTTAACATACAAGTTTATATGGACACATTTGTGTGGTAAAGAGTAGTTTTAAAAATCAGAACACTGATATCCAAGTAAATAGTAGTGAAGTTGATAACGTTTTTTTCTGGTCCTTACAACAGATGCAAGAGTCAAGAGAACTTTTTGCAAATCTTAACTTAAATGAAAACAGAAAAAGATATTAAACTAGTAATAAACAAACGAGTATTTTAGAACCATGCAACAATGTATTTATCTTACCTCTGGTTTACTGAGGCTAGAGGAGACAAGAGAACCTGATCCCACATCTAGATCCCACTGCTTTCTACCTCTGTTCTCTGGGTCTAGAGCAGCAATCCGTCCATCCAAAGTGCTTATGATTATTAATGATCTGTAAATGGAAGACACATCCAGAAGTCAGAACTAGAAATCACACTATTCAAGGGTTCATGTTTTTAAGACCCAGGACCTACTTAATGCCAACTTGTGACAGGAAACCAACATCAACCCCAACAACAACAAAAAAGAACCCAAAATAGTTTGACCCACTCTTAATAGAGGCATAACACATGTGGGATCATTTTCACTTCATGCAGCCTGGTGATGTGCCCATCCATGCGTTCCCTTGACCCTTCCCCTCTTGGCTTATTAAATCATGCTGGTAATGGCTAGTTGGGTCCTATGTGGGATCAATGTATTCTTGTGCGAGGGACTGGTCCCAGGTATCTTGAACAGGCAGCAATATGACTACTACTGAAAAAACCGACCTTGGAGCTGTTGCTTTGTGGTAACTATTGCCCAGTCATAAACACTCAATTTGAGGGGAAGATAATGAAGAGGGTCATGGCAGCAAAGTTACAAACACTCTTGGATAAAACAGATTACCCAGACCAATTTAAGTCTGAGTTGAAGTCTGGTTATGGAACTGTATCAGATTTGGTCTCTCTGAGAGATGTCCTTTATCAGGACGACAGAAGGAATGTGACTCTATTATGTCATCTTGGCTGCAAGTCCTTGAAGACTTTCTCCACCTAACCTGGGAGGGTGGAGCCCTGACTGACTCCAGCTACAAAAGCAGCTGGACACTCTTGGGCTGTTTTAGAGTGTTTTGCTGAGGGGATGTTGAGTGTTGTTGTTGATATTAATTTTTGTATCTTTACATCTTCTTACGATTTATGTGGAAAATGTTTCAATTTGGTTGACTAGTTTTTAATGTGTTTTATCTATTGCCTGTGGCTTTTGTTATGTTTGCAGTTAGGTAACTATTGTCATGTTGTAAGCATGGTTTTAACCATGGAAAGGGAGAATACAAATAAAATTATTATGATGATAGCTCAGCCACTTTTGATACCACTGCCCATGGTATCTTGATGAACCAGCTCTGTGATGGGCACCGAGGGATGATTTCAACCCTATCTTCAGGGTTGTTGTAATAGAATATCACCAGGTATTCAGCCCCCTAACAGTTGTGCTGTGGGGTGCCAATTTAGTACCTAAATAAAACCACTGTCAAAGAGAAAAACAACTACCAGACTTTTAGAAGACATCTGAAGGCAGCCCTGTTTAGGGAAGCTTTTAATGTTTAATAGACTACTGTATTTTAATATTCTGTTGGAAGCCGCCCAGTGGCTGGGGAAACCCAGCCAGATGGGCAGGGTATAAATAAATAATAATAATAATAATTATTATTATTATTATTAGGAATCATTAGATTTCCATTTTTCTGTAACAAGGAGAGGAGCTGTGCAAGACCTGGGTCAGTTTCTGAAGTCTGATGACTAGATGAAGGCCAATGCAGTTTGAATCCTGGCAAGACATAGGAGCTGTGGGTGAGCAGTTTCTTAATCTATTCTCGATAAGTGGTCAAGTCCCTGCTTCAGCTGGGGCTGTATTCCCACTGAAGGAGCAGGTTGGTAGTCTGGGGGTTCCCATGGTTTCATTTCTATCACTACAGTCCCAGGTGATGAGAGCACCTTGGAATGCCCTTTTCAGCTTTGGCCGGGTCATTTCTGGACTGTAATAGCCTGGACACTGCAATATGCTTCATGTGGTGCTCCCTCCAAAGCTTGCCTGGAAGCAGCAGTTCAACTGTTCACTGGGGAAGATATTGCCATCACATTATGCTGCTGCTGAAAGAACTCCGCTGGCTGCCAATTAGCTACCAGACCCCCTACAGATACTCTTACATCAGGAGGTTTATTCTATGTACCATGTAGAACTTGGGATGTTTAATGTGGCAGCACCTACCCTTTGGAACTCTCTTCTGTTGCTTATCAGGCAGCTGCTGTCTCTACTGACTTTTCAGCAGCTATTGCAAACCTTTTTCTAACAAGATTTTTAAGTTGAGATTTTTATCCTAGCCTGCAGAAGCACTGGATTAGAAATTGTTTTTCTTGCTAAATTGCCTTAGGACATTTCATAGGAAGCAATTCTTAAATGAAGTCAAATAATAAATAAACATTTCCTTCCCCATTTGCCACATATTTGTATTGGCACTGGATAATCTCGTCTTTTCAACCCCTTGGGGAGCGGGGACAAGAGCAAAGGCACAGCAAGATTAGTAGCAGGGCTGCAACCAAGTAGGATATACTGTACTTTCACAGTACAATGCAAATGGAACTGCAGTAGATCTAGATCCTCACAATTGTTAAGCAGTTGCATTGCACCTTACGCAAAGCACGTCCTGAATCTCATTGCTGCATGACATCCCTTCAACAAATGAGCCCTACTCACAAGCAGAGATTCGTCTCAGCAAAATTTTATAGTTTTAGACAAAGTTTCTTATTTTTAAAGATAACTCTTAATTATATCCCTGAACTCCAGTATGTTCAGAGTCCTCTTGAGCATCTCTTTGGAAAACCCTCAGTAGTCTAATACAGTGGTACCTCGGGTTACATACGCTTCAGGTTACAGACTCCGCTAACTCAGAAATAGTACCTCGAGTTAAGAACTTTGCTTCAGGTTGAGAACAGAAATTGTGCTCCGGCGGCGCGGCAGCAGCAGGAGGCCCTATTAGCTAAAGTGGTGCTTCAGGTTAAGAACAGTTTCAGGTTAAGAACAGACCTCCAGAACAAAATAAGTACTTAACCCAAGGTACCACTGTAATAGTGTAATTTCTTTCATAAGCCATACCTTTAGACAAACAATTCTTTCCAGAGCCAAAAGGTAGTGCTTTTGTTTGAACAATTATAGTCACAAGACAAGTCCAGCCTTATCATGTTCAAGGCTGATGCCATGTTTATTTAGAACAGAAATAACTACCTCAAGCAGGAGTTAATTACTGCTATGTACTCTGGTTTCATATTAAGAATGTCAAACAGATATAGGAAGCTGGAACACATTAATAGCTGTATTATAGTGATTCTACACCACGACCCCATAATACGAAAAAATTACTAAACTGTGTATTGTGTACAGTCGCACCTTGGTTCTTGAAGGGAATCCATTCCAGAAGTCCGTTCAACTTCTGAAAATGTTCAAAAACCAAGGTGCGGCTTCCAATTGGCTGCAGGAATTTCCTGCACTCAATCGGAAGCCGCGTCAGATGTTCGGCTTCCAAAAAATGTTCACAAACCAAAACACTCACTTCCAGGTTTGTGGCGTTCGGGAGCCAAAACGTTCGAATAACAAGGCGTTCGAGAACCGAGTCACGACTGTACACATCTCAGATGTTAACAAACACTTAGGGTGAGTGAAGTATTTCTGATTTGACAATATATAATCTTATTTACTGATTCCAAATACTTGCAGATATTTGCCTACTTGGATGTCAGGACTTTATAAGGCAGTTGACATTTGTTACCAACCAGTTTTCAGACATTTTTTTCTAATATTATCACTGTACTGTTATATTTTTTACTATTTGTACACCACCTTGTATTTCTTATGTAAGTGTCATTTATAAATATTTAAATATATTACACATATCCAATGTGCATTTCTGCACCTAGAGGGTACTGCCATCTTCATGAGTGGACTATACAGGGCCTTCATTTATTATGAACCCCAGCCTGCCCTCTTTCTATGACCTCTCATGCAATTAAGAGATACTGACCTGCCCCCTCCCTTTCACCTCAGATGACTACAGCACAAACATCCTGCTGCAAAACAGCATTATATACATATCTACTCAGAAGTAAGTCCCATTGCCTTCAAAAAGGCTTACTGTATGTGTACGAGGCTGCAGCCTAAGCCTTTCATATGGTTGAGGCTGCAATCCTATGCTTACTTACCCAAGAGTAAGCCCCACTAAACAAAGGATATAATAATTATGAGTAAACATGAACAGGATTCCATGAAGCAAAGTGATGTGGGGCGTCACCCTGAAAGGAGAAGCCAGCGGCAGTACAAGCGAGGTTGGTTGGGGGCTGCATCTCCTGCTGCCTCACCCCCAAGAGCAGCCACCACTCACCACACCATCATGCCTCCCCACACACAGGTGGAGCTGGTGCCCCCGGAGCCTCTTCCTGCTCAGCACCCAGCAGTCACCACTGCCAGGGGCTTACTGCTCACCACTGCTGGACACTTGCTGCCTCCTTCTCCTCAATCCCAACAGCTGCAGCAGAGAACTTATGGTTGGTGGTTCACTCCCCTACTCACCCCCCTGGGTCATCTTCCTCCTCCTTGCCCTCTTCAGGGCAGCCCAGGGGTGAGTAGAGGAGTGTGCCATTGCAGACAGGGCTGAGGAGCAGGAGGCAGCAAGCACCAGCAACAGTGAGTGCCTGGCAGTGATGAGTGCCAGGTGCCAAGCAGCAGCAAGGGGCAGGAGGTGGTGGGCAGTGCCAGGGGTTTTGCCAATAGGATTGTTTTATAAGATTCATGAATATGCAATATGGTACAGTTTTATTTGTTAAGCTATAAATAATTTTAATGCTGTTAAAGCCATAAAATAATATTAACCAGCAAGTAGTTTGTACAGTACTTTGATTTTTCACAAACCACTTTTTCTGCAGCTTCATATTTTATAAAAATGTCATATCTCTAGCCTTAGCTGGCTTGTGGAGCCAGCAGAGTCACCAGGCTCCTACTGAAGCCCAGGGGATGCCGCTGACCCAGAGTTCATTATGGGGGCACAGACGCTAATGCATAGGAAACTGAGGCACTTGGGTTGAGACATCTCAAGTACCTTAAAATCAATTATAGAACCGGGGGCAGGGTGTGTGTGTTAGGCCTCCAAAACACTCATTTCCCCTTGTCCCCTTAAACCTCTCTCAATCACCCTATTGCTTTCGGCACATCTGCTTTTGGGTCTATCCCACTGTCCTATCTTTTGGCCACTGAATTCACTTTCAAAAGTGTGAAAAGAAAAAGAGTGCTTTGTGGGTGTTCAATGGTGTGGATGGTGATGTTGTACAAATATAAGGAAATGAGAGCTTTGGGATGGGGAAAAGGTAAATTTGATTCTTGGACATACAGTACTGAACTTAAGACAAAGAAGAATCCAAGCAGATCAAAAGAAGCAGATGCAAGTGCCAGATTGTACAGTACGAATAATATTCTGAGACAGAGAGGTGGACAGCATATAGGCTGTACTGAAAGCAGATGGATGACTATTTAATGGTAGTCGCTTCAAAAGTAAGTCTGCATAGGAATGAGCTATAAGGACTTTTTTGTGGCTGTGCAGTGGCTTGCATACACAAGATTCTTCAAATCATACCACTACCAGAGGCATGCAAATATTACAGTCACAAAGGACTGTGATCATGGTTTAAACATTTTAATGCCTCTGGAGGTTTCAGCACAAGCATGGACTTTCCAAAATCTACCTTTGGGCTAAGTGATGACTAAAGTAACATTATCTTCAACTTCAACATACAGTACAGTACTCATTTGCCATCACTCTCAATGGCAAGCTATTGCCTGGGAAACTATTCACTTAACACTTTCGTTACTGGTGTGATCAAATGTATAGTTTGCCAAATATAACATTGAACATAAGGAATGTACCAATACAGGGTATGAAGGAACAATCTCACTAAACTATACAAGTTCTCAGAAACAGGAAGACAGTGCACTGAATGCTGTAAGCATCACACAGATTTTTGCATCTTTGCAAATAGGTCCACATAAGAAGGCAGATTTGTCTCCTAACACACACAGAGGTAGGTAGGTAATCTGAAAGATGAAAAATACCACCCTTCGAGATTAGAATACTTAGAGAAAAGTATATCTATCGCTGAACATGTGGGCAAGTAACAGCCCATGCAGGGACCCAAGCTGCCCCAACTGCCAAAATTTTGTGTGACTACAATAAGGAAAGTGCATTCAAAGGGCACTTCTTTTCCTGCTGGAGAGGCCACAGGCCTGCTAGTCTCCACCCCAGCAAGAAAAAACCATGTGTGTGTGTGTATATGCGCAATTGTATACATGTCCAAGCCACGCGCACCATCACCTCAGGCCACACCCACTGGGCATGCAATCCCCAGCACCTATCCAACTGCTCAACGGCCAAACAAACAGCCACCTGTGGCTTTTCCAGCAGTCTGGTTTGCACACAAACACAACGCTCTCCCGCCAACTCCCACAGAAACGGCCACCAACAGAAGAGGGGCAATGAAGACCCCAAACCCTATCAAGTTGCAGCGCAGTGAGAACAGCATGGTGGAGTTTTGATGTGTTGCGTTTAAACTTGAAACAAATAAATAATAAAAAAGGATGGTGGACCAGCAGCAGGTTGTTCTTATACTCAGGGTATTGCTGGTGAGTCAGGTGATCGTTTCAAACCAGGGAAAGGTTACTGAGATGAATACCTCGAGCCAGTCCATTCCACACTTAGCCCACCTCAATGGTGTGTTAACTGCAGGAACACAAAAACGAAGTTGGGGGGGGGCAGGGTTGCAGAAGAACCATGTGTGGGAGGGGCAGGGGGGTTCTTGCTTCCTTTTGTTCTTGTTATTAATCTGATTTGAACTGATTTTATAATGAAATGATTTTAGAATGTTGTATCATTTTACTGTTGTTAGCCGCTCTGAGCCCGGCTTCGGGTGGGGAGGGCGGGGTATAAATTTAAAAATATTATTATTATGCATTTCGTTTTTTTATACTGCATTGTTATGCTGTGAACCGCCCTGAGGTCTGCGGATGAAGGGCTGCGTACAAATTTAATAAATAATAATAATAATAATTCTTGGGAGGGAGAGGGAGAAGCAAATAAGAAAAAACCCAAGACATTATAAAGCCCCTCTTCTAGTTGGATTCCTGCATCATGAAGGGCGCTTGGGACAAGAGCGAGATGATTGTCAACAACAACAACAACAAGCAAGAAGAAATACCGACAAAAGAAGAATGGAGGATGAAACTGATGGACTCTGCAGAATTAGACAAATTAACAGGAAGAATTTGAAACCTGCGGGACCAGAGAATCACAGAAGACTGGCATAAATTTACAGACTATTTTTTTCCCATTAATTTTTTTTTTTATTAAAGATTTTCTTGTTTTACAGAAGTATGTGTAATGTCTCTATTTTTTCCATGTAACATTTTTACAAATCAGTTTCATTTGTTGAGACATTGGGGGGGAAGGGGGGGAATTTACGGACTTTGAAAAGTAATTGTGACGATCAGATTACGCTTGTAGGTTTGCAAGAAGTTTTGTAAGGTGAATTATTGCAAAAATGGCAAAGAGGAGAATTATTAGTTAAGATAATTAAAGGCAATACGAATTTAAGAAATGCAGAAAAAGTGGTAAGAATGGTGGATCATCAGAGGTGCTGATGGAAGTCCTAAAAGACTGTATAAGAAGTGAAGTTTTGTATGTATGATAATCAATATGTTAAAATTAATAAAAAATTATATATATATATATATATATATATATACACACACACACACACACACACACACACATATATACACACACACACACACATATATACATACATATATATATACATATATACATATATATATATATATATACACACACACACACACACACGACAACTACAACAACAGGAGCCTGGCCCGTGGCTAGCGATGGAGGAGAGAGCAGGGATCGCGGAAGCAAGGCAACCGGATCCAGGCCTCTGCCGAGATCCCCGCCGCGCTCCGGTGCCTCACCTGCAGCTGCCGCCCCGCGCGGGCGTTTCCGCGCCTTCCTCCTCCTGCTCCCCGGAGGTGAAGGCCGCCGCTTGGGCCACTTCGCCGCCGGCCTCATCGTCCTCCACCGTCACGTCGGCCGCCAAGGGGAGCGCGGCGGCGGCGGCCCCGCCGAGCCCTAGCCCGGGCCGGCTGTCCTCATCCAGGAACGCCGCCGCCGCCGCCGCTGCCGACCCCCTCACGGGGACGCAGAGCGGCAGCAGCCACAGGAGCACCAGGGCGGCGGCGGGAAGAAGAGGCCGAGCGCTCGGGCCTTGCGGCCCTGGCATGGAGCGGCCCTCCCCGCTCCGGTCGCCTCAGCAACACCGTTACGCTCCGGGCATAGGAAGCCAGAGCCGCCGCCGAAAAGGGCTCGGTCGGTTTTACCTCAGAAGCCGGAGCTCGCCACTGCGCACGCGCGAGCTCCAGCGACGCAACGCAACTTGCCTACACACACTACCCGCGAGCCCGCCTTTAACCAATCCCCGCCTCTTCCTCGGCCACGTTACCAGCGCGCTTTGTTTCACAGAAACCGAGCTCGCTTCTTTTTTCAGCCTTCGGTTTCATTAGTGAGGAAAGCTGTCGTTTTTGCGCGACCGTCCAATCGGAGGTGCGGACCGCCTTTTCTTCCCGCCCCCACACCGGAAAAGGAGAAGCGACGCGCGATGTTTTGTCAACACGGTTCGATCCGAGCCAATGGCAGGGACGACGCCACAAATCTCTCCCGCCAATTAAAAGAGCTCACTTCTCCATGTTTCCCTATGGTTGGTTTAAGTAACATGACAGCCCCGCCCCCTCTGCTATTGGCTTTGCGCTCTCTGATTGGAGGGCGGTGGCGGTTGGTGGAGCTCAGCGACTGGCTGCTGCTTTTTTCCCGCCCCTTCCTGATTGGGCAACGCCAATGCTTCCTACGTGGCCGATTCTGAATGTGGACCACGCTCCCCAGTGCCCCAGGGCGTCAAGGGAGTTCGCGTCTTAAAGGGGCCGCAGCACTAGAGCGCTTAGCCATGCTGGTTTTTGCAAAGGGTAAAAGCATCGCGAATGTGCCGTGTGGAATCTGAAGGCTTCTTTCGCACGCGCCCAAGGCAGCAGCTGAGAATATATAATAAATAACAACAGTGATAATGTGCTACATTACATGAACATTAATCCAGCAGCAAAAATTAAAAATTAAGTGCCCTGTTTTATAATTAGGCCAGGTAGAATGAGACTTTGGGGACTCCTGAATGCACAGTGTGGTGGTGGTCTACACTCTGGAACTCCCTGCCTGTTACATACTGAGTTGAATAGGATCAAGGATGCAGCAGTCTGATTGGTCCTAGAACAATAGGATCAGGGATGCAGCAGTCTGATTGGTCCTAGAACAATAGGATCAAGAATGCAGCAGTCTGATTGGTCCTAGAACAATAAGATCAAGAATGCAGCAGTCTGATTGGTCCTAGAACAATAGGATCAAGAATGCAGCAGTCTGATTGGTCCTAGAACAATGGGATTCAGAACGCAGCAGTCTGATTGGTCCGCAGGAGCCACCCAATCCAGCTCCAGGTGGAAGTGAATCTTCAACCTGATTGGCCTACAGGAGAATCCTGGAATTAACCAATCACGTGGGGCCCATTGTGTAAGCAGACACTTTGGGGGAACTTGCATTCCTCACTACTATGAGCTGAATAAAGACCATGAAAGCCACACTCGACTCTGAGTATATTTCACTGCCTATTGAGATCAAGCAGGCATTTTGCTGAAAACAATCCTGTTTAGACACGCACACCCAGATACTTAGGTAACTTTAATCCGTTTTAGTATTTTAACTTGTGTATGTTTTAAAGTACTGCTGATTCCGCCCCCCCCCCCCCCGATTTTTGTTGGGGGTTTTTTTGTAAATCGTTTTGAGATATATATAAATATCGATATTACAACTAAGGAATTTTATTAAATAAATAAATGGCAATGACTACCACTTCAGGAGCTGCATTCACATTTTTGATAGACACTGGAACATTTCCTGGAATTGGGGGGGATTGCAGAGAATGGGGTAGAGCAAGAACCTTTCTCTCCATTGCATTTGACAAGAAAGAATAAAGTGTTATGTATGTTGCGGGAGCGGGGCAGTCAAAAAATAAAACTGAAAACCCATCAACTGCTGCCTCAAGTTGCACAGTCGGCTCTATACCGCCTTAGTATTCCGCTGCAGTCGAATGTATAAAATCAGTCCTGCACTCCTAAGTTTCCACAGGTCGCTTTGTTCGGCTCTCTTCTGCTTAAAGGTAAAGGACCCCTGACCATTAGGTCCAGTCGTGGCCGACTCTGGGGTTACGGTGCTCATCTTGCTTTACTGGCTGAGGGAGCCGGCGTACAGCTTCCAGGTCATGTGGCCAGCATGACTAAGCCGCTTCTTAGAGCAGCGCACGGAAACGCCGTTTACCTTCCCACCGGAGCGGTACCTATTTATCTACTTGCACTTTGACGTGCTTTCGAACTGCTAGGTTGGCAGGAGCAGGGACCGAGCAACAGGAGCTCACCCCGTCGCGGGGATTCGAACTGCCGACCTTCTGATCAGCAAGTCCTAGGCTCTGTGGTTTAACCCACAGCGCCACCCGCATCCCTAAAGTTGCTTAGCTGCCAGCAATTCAGAAGTGTGCATGCACATGAAAGCTCGTACCAAGAACAAACTTAGTTGGTTTCTAAGGTGCTACTGGACATTATGTAGGAACAGCCTTTGTATAAGGAAATTCCGTTAGAAAACTGCCCCGAGATGTAACATAATAAATAACAAATAAAGTAAAACAATTTTTTTTAAAAAAACACACCCTGAATAACCAGCACAAAACTTCCATCTAGCAAGTCTGAATCATGCAGGCGTTGTCATGGGAGGGGTATTTTTAACATTAGGATCAAGGCTAAACTGTCAAGCCCCTCCCCACCCCACCGTGCTGCTATTTTGCTATTGCCAGGAGGTGCAAAGTTGTCAGTGTAATGAAAGGCGGTATATATAATTGGAATATTGTTTTTTGAAAAATGATATTGGAAAACTGCTACATTTAGTTACAAGGAAATTCAGATGGGAGGGACTGGAGGAAGGCAAGTAATATGTTTATAAGGTTGGAAGTTTAATTAATTATTAGGCAGAATCCGTGACCAGGGAGAAGAGTCGGTGGAGGAAGATTGGAAGAAATTCAAAGACTATCTGCAGAAACATTGCAAAATTAAAGAATGTTAGAGTGATGTTGGATTGAAAATAAGTGGCTTCCAGCTGTACAGGATTTAAAGTTATATATAGATCAAGATTAAGGATTAGGATTAAAAAAAAAAAGTTAAAGGAAATGGAAATTTGGTTTTTAAGAGGTAAAATTTAATGTTATTTTATATTAAGATTAAAGATTGGGATTAAAAAAGAGGGAAAGAAATTGCTGGACAAACAACTTGAACTGGAATACAAAAGAGGGAGGTATGAGGAGGTCCAGAAAATAAGTAAATTTAAAAATGGAGACGAAAAGGTGGTATTGTTTTTAATTGTTTTCTTTTCTGTCTTTTGTTTTTTGTTGTTTGTTTTTTTTGGATTATGTATTGTGTATTTTTGAATTGTGTATTTCTTTTTTTGTTTTTAATTTTTTATTGGTGTGTTCTTTTTATTGGAAACCTTAATAAATATCATTTTTTAAAAAAAGGAAGTTTAATTAATTATTAGTTTGTATTGTATTTGTGTATTTGTTGTTATATCTTTTGTTGTTATTTGTTTTATTTCTCTTTCTATTTTTTCTTTGTTGGTTTTTTTTTAGTGTGGGTTATATTTGTAAGAAACTTAATAAACATTATGGGGGGAATGAAAGGCATTATAGAACTTTAAATTAAATTAAATTAAGACATGACATAACTAACATAACCATAACATAACACATAACACATAACACATAACACATAACACATAACATAACATAACATAACATAACATAATCCCCGCGACCTTCTGATCAGCAAGTCCTAGGCTCTGTGGTTTAACCCACAGCGCCACCTGCGTCCCTTCCCATGTAAGATAGGGCCCAGTAAAATAAGACATGCTTTGATTTAAAAGCTAAAAAGCATGCTTCCGTGTTAAAAACTAAGCAGATGGAAAAAAGTATGAGGTCACATTTATTAATTTCCTTACATTAAAAACTAACATGTACAGTTAAATGCTGTACTTCACCATTGTATTTAATACAGAATTCTGCTACTTGTCTGATGACTGTCTGTATGGTATAGATTTTGAATTTCCTGTTTCAAGTGTGCATTTAACAACATTATGAAATACCTGAAAGAGTAACATAACATAACATAACATAGCATTGTTGGCTGCCCACTCTCCACCTTAGAGCAGATTTATACCACAAGGTGCCATAGGAAGGCGCTGGACATAGTAAAAGATCCATCGCATCCTGGTCACTGTCTCTTCGAGCTCTTGCCGTCGGGACGGAGATACAGGACGATGAAGACAAAAACGAGCCGTCTTAAGAACAGCTTCTTCTCCAGAGCGATCTCGGCCCTGAATGGGAAGCCCGGACTTTGAAAGTCATCTAATCTCCCTTGCTGTATTATACTGTATTGATTAAGTTTTTATGGAGCAGTCAAGTAATTTCGTTGTCCCCGAAGGGGGCAATGACAATAAAGATATTATTATTATTATTATTATTATTATTATTATTTGTAAGAAACTTAATAAACATTATGGGGGGGGAATGAAAGGCATTATAGAACTTTAAATTAAATTAAATTAAGACATGACATAACTAACATAACACATAACACATAACACAACACAACACAACACAACACAACACAACACAACACAACACAACACAACACAACACAACACAACACAACACAACACAACACAACACAACACAACACAACACAACACAACACAACATAACATAACATAACATAACATAACTGTTCAGCCACTGCAAGGACAGGCAACTGGACTAGACGGGCCTTCGACCTGAGGCAGCAGGCTGTTCTCCCGTCCTTCAAATGAGGCCCTGGCGCGCCGGGGTGCATTGTGGGTGCTGTAGTTCCCCGGCCGCCTGGCGCAGGCTCTCCGCGTGGCGGCGGCACTACAAGCCCCATGCGGCCGCGGGGTGGCGAGGCGGCTCAGGTGAGGAGCGAGAGGCCGGCTTCCCTCAGCCGCGGAGCAGCCAGCCCCGAGGTGGCTTCCATGGGGCGGCCGGCGGCGGGCCGAGGCGGGCGGAGCTGAAAGGGGGCGGGGGAGGGCAGGCAATGCGGAGCCGGGGGCAGCGCGCCGCCCTTCTCTGCCGGAGGCTCGTGGCGGAGGGGACGAGGCACGTGCACCGGCGCGCCCCGCGTTGCAGCAGCCAAAGCGTTAGCGGCGAAAGCAGCGCGATGACCGAGGAGGCGAAGAAGCTGGCCGCCTGGGCTGCGGTGAAGAACCACGTGCAGGTGGGGAACCTCCTTTGGGCTTCGGCTTTTTGCAAAGTTAACAGCAGGCTGCGGGAGCCGGGCGCGTCTGCTTCCACCAGGAATGCAGGATCCCGTCTCAAATGTTGGGGGTGTGGATCTCGTGCACGTTTCCTCGGCTGGGGTTTTGGAGGACAGCGGTTTGTAGGACTACTGCGAAGAGTGTGTGTGTATATAAATATATATATACACACACACACACATGTATGTATATATAGTTATATACACACATATAGAGAGAGAGAGAGATACCCGAGGTACCACTGTAATATATATATACACACACACACACACATGTATGTATATATAGTTACATACACACACATATATAGAGACAGAGAGACTCACGCTCAAAAGTTTCACCCAAGAATTCATAGAGTTCTCAGCTGGCCGCCTGGGCTGCGGTGTGTATTTATATAGTTAAATACACACATATATATAGAGAGAGAGAGATACGCACGCTCAAAAGTTTCACCCAAGAATTCATAGAATTTCATCCTATAGAATTGTTTTTAGATATATACTGTACTGTATATATATACAGTGGTACCTCGGGTTACACACGCTTCAGGTTACAGACTCTGACGCTAACCCAGAAATAGTACCTCGGGTTAAGAACTTTGCTTGAGGATGAGAGCAGAAATTGTGCAGCGGCAGGCCCCATTCTCTAAAGTGGTGCTTCAGGTTAAGAACAGTTTCAGGTTAAGAACGGACCTCCAGAACGAATTAAGTACTTAACCCAAGGTACCACTGTAATATACAGTGGTGCCCCGCAAGACGAATGCCTCGCAAGACGGAAAAACCGCTAGACGAAAGGGTTTTCCGTTTTGGAGTTGCTTCGCAGGACGAATTCCCCTATGGGCTTGCTTCGCAAGACGAAAATGTCTTGCGAGTCTTGAGATTTTTTTTTCACTTTTCCCCCCCTTTATCTAAGCTGCTAAGCCTTTAATAGCCTTTTAGCAGCTAATCCGCTAAGCCTTTAAGCCTTTAATAGCCGCTAAACCACTAATAGCGCTAATCCGTTAAGCCGCTAATAGGGTTGCTTCGCAAGACGAAAAAACCACTAGACGAAGACACTCGCGGAACGGATTAATTTCGTCTTGCGAGGCACCACTGTACACACACACACACACGTATGTATGTATATATAGTTAAATACACACACATATATAGAGACAGAGAGACGCACGCTCAAAAGTTTCACCCAAGAATTCATAGAGTTCTCAGCTGGCCGCCTGGGCTGCGGTGAACAACCACGTGCAGGTGGGGAACCTTCCTTTTTGGCTTTGGCTTTTTGCAAATTTAACAGCAGGCTGCGGGAGCCGGGTGCGTCTGCTTCCACCAGGAATGCAGGATCCCGTCTCAAATGTTGGGGGTGTGGATTTTGTGCACGTTTCCTCGGCTGGGGTTTTGGAGGACAGCGGTTTGTAGGACTACTGCGAAGAGAGAGTGTGTGTGTGTGTGTGTATATAAATATATATATACACACACACGCACATGTATGTATATATAGTTATATACACACACATATATAGAGAGAGAGAGATACGCACGTTCAAAAGTTTCACCCAAGAATTCATAGAATTTCATCCTACAGAATTGTTTTTATATATATACTGTACTGTATATATATATGTATATATATATATGTATATATGTGTGTGTATATATATATATATATATATATATATATTCATCCTATAGAACTGCTTTTATATATATACTGTACTGTATTCTTCCTATAGAATTGTTTTTATATATATATATACTGTACTGTATATATATATAGTGGTACCTCGGGTTACATGCGCTTCAGGTTACACACGCTTCAGGTTACAGACTCTGCTATCCCAGAAATAGTACCTCAGGTTAAGAACTTTTCTTCAGGATGAGAACAGAAATCGTGCGGCAGCAGTGGGAGGCTCCATTAGCTAAAATGGTGCTTCAGGTTAAGAACAGTTTCAGGTTAAGAACGGACCTCCAGAACGAATTAAGTACTTAACCCGAGGTACCACTGTGTATATATATATATAATTTCATTTTAATACATAACACACAAAAAAGAAATATAGAAGTAAACAAATATCCATCACCTCCTAGCAACTAAAAAGGAAAGGTAAAAAAGAAATGAAAAATAACAACAATAATACATTAAATAGTTCTCACAATAAGGGACGCGGGTGGCGCTGTGGGTTAAACCACAGAGCTTAGGACTTGCCAATCAGAAGGTTGGCGGTTCGAAACCCCGCAACGGGGTGAGCTCCCATTGCTCAGTCCCTGCTCCTGCCAACCTAGCAGTCCGAAAGCACGTCAAAGTGCAAGTAGATAAATAGGTACCGCTCCGGCGGGAAGGTAAACGGCGTTCCATGTACTGGTCTGGTTCGCCAGAAGCAGCGTAGTCATGCTGGCCACATGACCCGGAAGCTGTACGCCGGCTCCCTCGGCCAATAAAGCGAGATGAGCGCCGCAACCCCAGAGTCGGTCATGACTGGACCTAATGGTCAGGGGTCCCTTTACCTTTACCTGGTTCTCACAATACATTTAACATAAAAATGACTTTTATCTATATCCTATAGAATTGTTGAGTTGGAAGGGACTCCGAGGGTCGTATGCATGCCCTTGTATTTCACAAAATTTATTCCCCACTTCATTATGGTTCTGTTTAGTTCAGTTTGTAGAGCCCAAGACTCTTAAGCCCCACGTTGGGCGAAAAGATTCCTGCATTGCAGCGGGTTGGGCTAGATGACCGTGGGGGGGGACCCCTTCCAACTTTACAATTCTATGATTCTGTTTTTGGAACAAATCAAACAAACAAACAAAACCTTCAAAGCGGTTTATGAAAAGATGCAGCAAGATAACTGAGAAAAATCCGCAACCGCGCTTTAAAGAGTACAAAAGTTAAAATGTTGAAAAGGATTAAAACGCACCTCGGCTTTCTAAGCATCTGTGTAAACAAGAGTGTTTTAGAAGGTGCTTTTAAAAGAATGCAGTGGCTGAGGGCATTTGCTTGATCTCAATCTTGTTAATATCCCAGGAATTGTACCTAAAGCAGTAAAGCACTCATAAGTTTTGTTTGTTCACAGCTGGGAACTTTTGCAATGCTTGTTTGCTAAGTCCCGCCGAACTTCAAGGGTTACTCTTTCAGGTATTTCATAATGTTGTTAAATACACACTTGAAACAGGAAATTCAAAATATATACCATACAGACAGTCATCAGACAAGTAGCAGAATTCTGTATTAAATACAATGGTGAAATACAGTATTTAGCTGTACATGTTAGTTTTCAATGTAAGGAAATTAATAACTATGACTTCATACTTTTCCCCATCTGCTTAGTTTTTAACATAGAAGGGTGTTTTTTATCAAAGCATGTCTTATTTTACTGGGCCCTATCTTACATGGGATGTTAGACACGGATGGCGCTGTGGGTTAAACCACAGAGCCTAGGACTTGTCGATCAGAAGGTCGGCGGTTCAAATCCCCGTGACGGGGTGAGCTCCCGTTGCTCGGTCCCTGCTCCTGCCAACCTAGCAGTTCAAAAGCACGTCAAAGTGCAAGTAGATAAATAGGTACCACTCCAGTGGGAAGGTAAACGGCGTTTCCGTGCGCTGCTCTGGTTCGCCAGAAGCAGCTCAGTCATGCTGGCCACATGACCCAGAAGCTGTACCCCGGCTCCCTCGGCCAATAAAGCGAGATGAGCGCCGCAACCCCAGAGTCGGCCACGACTGGACCTAATGGTCAGGGGTCCCTTTACCTTATCTTACATGGGATGTCTTTTTGCCTCCTTAAAACTAATACTGTGGTTCAAGGATTGGGAACCCCTGGAACTCTGTATGTGGCCCTGCTACTCGGTTTGTTGGGAGGTGGAAGTCCAGCCATGCCTGGAAGGGTACAGAGTCCACACCTGTGCCATAGATTATCAAGTTTTCTAAAAGTTGCCACTTTTTGCATATGCTAAATACTCTCCAGTAAAATCAAGCCATGTGGTTTCTAAGTTGACTAAGTGAGAACAAAATATTTCTGTCTTTTTTCCTTAGAATAATCAAGTCCTTGGAATTGGAAGTGGGTCTACAATTGTTCACGCTGTGCAGAAATTGGGTATGCATTTCCGCTATTCTTTTTGTCAGAAATTATGTTTCAGTTATTTAAACTTCAAGAGTCTGTTCTAAACAAGTGTACCTAGTTTTACTTGCCAAACAGCCAGCCCAGTGTGTGGAGTCTGTGTCAGGCTAAGGGCTGGGATATCTCTATCTTGGATGTGATCTTTGTACAGTGACTCCATGGATTAAATCCAACACATGTAGGCCCAAAACATAGTTAGTTTTTGGTTTTCATGTGGGTATATGTGTGTAGCACAGTTTTCTTCAGTCTGGTGATCTCCAGAGACTTGAGTTATTTATTAAATTTGTATAATGCCCTTCCTCTGAAGATCACAACACAAAATAAGAGCACAAAATACATAATAAACCAATAACCCCATTCCCACAAACACATTTAAAGGGACACCCAGTTCTACCTCTCTTTTAATTCAGAACCAGTGAAGGTCCTGTGTGAGTGCCTGGAGGCGGTTGGAGGATGGATGGCAGCTAACAGATTTAGACTGAATCCTGACAAGACAGAAGTACTGTTTTTGGAGGGCGGGCGGGTGGGTTTGGGAGACTCCCTGGTCCTGAATGGGGTAACTGTGCCCCTGAAGTGTGGAGGCGCAGGTTAATTCTGTGTCCAGGGTGGCTGTCTACCAGCTCCATCGGGTGTGCAGTCTGAGACCCTACCTGCCCACAGACTATCTTGCCAGAGTGGTGCATGCTCTAGTTAGCTCCTGCTTGGACTACTGCAATGCACTCTACGTGGGGCTACCTTTGAAGGTGAGCTGGAAACTACAACTAATCCAGAATGAGGCAGCTAGACTGGTGACTGGGAGCAGCCACTGAGAACATATAACACCAGTCCTGAGAGATCCGCATTGGCCCCCAGTACCGAGCACAATTCGAAGTGTTGGTCTGACCTCTGAGCCTTAAACGGCCTCGGTCCAGTATACCTGAAGGAACGTCTCCACCCCCATCGTTCAGCCCGGACGCTGAGTTCCAGCGCTGAGGGCCTTCTGGCAGTTCCCTCACTGCGAGAAGTGAGGTTACAGGGAATCAGACAGAGGGCCTGCTCGGTAGTGGCACCTGCCCTGTGGAACGCACTCCCATCAGATGTCAAGGAAATAAGCAGCTATTCTATTTTTAAAAGACATCTGAAGGCAGTCCTGTTTAGGGAAGTTTTTAATATTTAATTCTGTATTGTTTTTAACACTCGATCCAGTCTAGGGAATTGGTCCACTTAAGGACCAATAAGTGCAAAGGATTAAGGTCTCAACTACGGATAAGATTCCAGGATGATTATGTTAAACTTTCTGAAGTTTTCTCTGACCACCATCTTGAAAAGTTATTCAGAATCTAATTTCAAAGGTGCCTCGAGCTACAGTTTCACGTGATAACAGCCCACTCCCCTCTTTAGCACGGTTATTGTAGCATTTTCATGTGAAGCAGTTGCCAAGCTGCAAGTTGCATGGTTGTGACTTGAATCAAATCTCTGTGTGGTCTGCTGAGGCCTCTATGTTGTGCTCCTGGAGAGAAGCCAGTTTAATCTTGTGATATGGTACGCTTCCTCATGTTTCTCTGGTTACTGGAACATGCTAAGAGCTAGAGATATGTAGCCTGCAAGGCATGCTTGGAACAGATGTATGATTCTGAGAGGCTGGAGGGCTCAAAATTCTGCAGTCCCATCCCCACCAATGAATTCAGTGCCTTTGTATTGCCCTCATGACAACAGGAAGGGAGCAGGAACCTGCACAATTGGGGGTAAATAGCCAGCAGTCCTAATTAAAGTGGTACATGGCTTTTCTGCCCAAGCATGCATGGTGCACAGGGACACGGGTGGCACTGTGGGTTAAACCACAGAGCCTAGGACTTGCCGCTCAGAAGGTCGGCGGTTCAGATCCCCTTAACGGGATGAGCTCCCGTTGCTCGGTCCCCGCTCCTGCCAACCTAGCAGTTTGAAAGCACGCCAGTGCAAGTAGATAAATAGGTACCACTCTGGTGAGAAGGTAAACGGTGTTTCCATGTGCTGCTCTGGTTTGCTAGAAGCAGCTTAGTCATGCTGGCCACATGACCCGGAAGCTGTACGCCGGCTCCCTCGGCCAGTTAAGCGAGATGAGTGCCGCAACCCCAGAGTCGGCCACGACTGGACCTAACGGTCAGGGGTCCCTTTACCTTTATGCATGGGAGGAGCCTCCTCTGGCAGGTCCAGTTCCTCAGTTCCTTGAAATAAAGCAATACCTCTGGATTGGGATTGACTGAGCAGGACAGAGAGCTGATTGGCAGAAATATCTCCAGAGCTTCTCTCGAGTTCAAATGGAAGTACAGTGGTACCTTGGGTTACATACGCTTCAGGTTACAGACTCCGCTAACCAAGAAATAGTACCTCAGGTTAAGAACTTTGCTTCAGGATGAGAACAGAAATTGTGCTCCGGCAGCGCGGCGGCAGCA